CTCCAGGGAAGTGATGAATGCAAAAAAAAAAAAAACTAAAATATGTTCTTGGCATGTACAACCTCCGTCGTCTACGGCATTCCATTATCCTGCGGGCGCACCTACGTAGGCTAAACAGGCCGCTGCGTAAATGGCAGCATAAGAGAGCTTGCAGCAGCTATCAAACAGATGCTGTCTGGGCGTCTGTTAGTGCATTGCGATTGATGTCCGTGCACACCCTTATTTTCAAACACAACCATCCTGGAACAACACAATGAAAAAACAACTAGGGAAATTCAATTTGTCATCAAAACAAGATAAGGAAATGTTATTTTCCCAGAGAAGTGAGGTAGCTGTAGGTGACACTGTTTTATTAAAGTGTTTAATTTGGTGTGTTTTCTAATAAACCTTCAGCTGCGAGTGTGCTCCGTGTTGTCGTTACCTTCTTCACTTTGTCCCTGTCGTGTCGGTGCTTCTATCCAGTCATGAACCGCCGAACTGAACATTTTATTGGAGAGTTTATTATCTGTAATTCGCATTCAAGTTTCGCTAAACTTGAAACAGTTGAACGTCCTTGAGCGGTTTGGCTATGTCTGAATTTTTTTTTTTAAGTGTAGCATTTGTTAAGTTTACAAGTTGGTTCAAAAATTTCACCAAATTTGGTTAGAAGTGAAGTTTTTTACATTTTATTTTCCCAATGTACCTATTTGTAAACTGATTCAAAACATAGAAAGGTTAGTTATAAACACTGGTGAATTTAGTGGCCAGGGATGCTGCAGGAGTCCTGCAACTTGCAGGTGCATTGTTTTGTTACAGCATTTCTCTTCAAGTGCAAACTTGGAGTGCCAGGATCACAAGCATGCCACCTGAATATGCTGTGTAGCAAAACACACGCACATGGCAGGGAATGCGCTTGAGGTTACGGGGTTCCGCCTAAAAAAATTGGGGTTGACTTGTTTCTCAAACTTTATGCCGATTCACACGTGCATTTTGCGGTTAAGCTTCAAGTGCTGATAATTATAGGGATGCCAAGCGATGCTCTGCTCAAAGCCAGTGCCATGTTAATGCTAGGAGTGCACGATGATGCAGGGACCCATAGGCACGTAATCTTTGCGCTACTGCTTCACGTTGCCTGTGCTCGTACACAGTATCTCTTTTAGGGCCAAGTCCTTGCATGTTGTACTTGAGGCTCCAAATTTTCAGATAAACAAAAATAAATTTTAGAAACACCCGCTGGTAAACTTTTTGTCAAGGACTATCTCGAGTGCTAAAAAGGCTGTTATACTTTACATTGGACAGCGGTGCCTGTGACGTAGCCCCTGTGACCAGTACATGCTCAACGTGCATGCCCAAAATATGGCAGCCTCAGATAATTGGGACAGCAGCTACTATAGGCATCGACAGGGTCGGAGTTGCAGGGATGTCCTTGAGTTTTCTTGCCTCCGGCATGAGCTTTCTACTTTCAAGAGCGTCTCACGAGCTTTGAACATGCACGCTCAGCCAGACTCCAATGGCATGCTGTATGATGCCTCGCTCAGACGGGATTGGTGGGGGGGGGATAGCTTTCACCTTTTGCCAAGTTACACGGAACCAGAGCTGTTGATTGAAGGCTTTGTTTTAGCTGTGAAGGGGGAATTTACTTGCTGGGTCACAGTTCTTACCACCATTCGCTTGAGAAAAATTCAGTATGTATTTTCGAGGTCGTTGCCACGGCATCAGAGCTTCAGCATCCTTGACTGTAGAACGTCCTTGTTGAGTGGCTAACCTGTGTTTTGCACCATTGAGGCAGTTTCAGCCTGGAGGTGGTTTGGGTCAAATTACCCACTTCACTATTTTTAGTGTTATTAAAACAATCTAGTCAATACTTTTTGAATAGGAAATTATCTCGCATTTGTTGGATGCCACAAGGATGTTTGTGGTGGTCAAGGATGAGTTGCTCGTTGCAGCTTCTGAAATGGATCTTTGGTATGGAATGGTCATACAAATGCTGGCGTGGGGAGCAGGCCATAGCTGCTGTAACAAAAGCTTGTCTTTATTGTGGCTGTTGTGCTTGGAGGAGGATGTTGCGCATGCTTGACACAGAATATATGGGTCGATCTCGTTATTTCTGCATATCAATTGTCCCAGGCTACTGACTTCTTGAAGCTCAAGATGCTCATATGCTCCTTTTCAAAAGCGTGACAGACCGTTTTACTGTATACTCGGTGCTGGGTTTAGCTTTTATATTATTGCAAGGGGGATTTGCGCTGCCTTTGATATGAATGCTGAAGAGATGAATTTTTGTGCCCTATCTTGATGCAAGTGTGCTCGGCGCACACTTGCATCGAGTGCTGCATGATAAGTGATTTGATTTCTTTTGTTTGAATTTTCTTGGGTATTTGGAGCTTTTTCTCCAAAGAAAGGCGATGGGAAGGCGCGGCGAACTAAAAATCTGAACCTGTAATTTCTTTTCCCCTCCTCAGGTTGGCAAGCGTTCCTGCAATGACTGGTCAAATTTATTCGGTCTGTTTGACGTTAGTAGCTGATGCAAGCTTTCTCTAAAACAACCGTGGTGCGATGGTAAATTATTCCTTCCCTTCTTGTTGATTTTGCCTCATTGGTCTGATGCAAGTGCATTACCCTTGACTGTTTTTTTTTTTTTTATGCACATTTTTGAAACTTAATTTGGGCTGAAGATGTTGCTGCATGTAAGCATTTTTATTTGTGTGCATTACTTAGCTTCTTGTCTAAAATATTTGCAAAGTCCAAAAAATGTTGCTTTTAATATCTATTTTTGCCTCTGAGGAAATGAATCATGTGTTTGATATTGCATGCTGGAAAGGGCATGTGATAGTTCTGGGCTGCTTGCATTTTGCTTAAACGTTTTCCTTGGATATTAACATTTTGATTCCAACTTTAAAGTAGTGTTGACTTTTGGAGTGCATGTAAGTGCAGGTAATGCTGATGCAGTTTTGCCTGCCTTGTTTTTTTCATTTGGTTGATATAAGAAGGGCCGTGGTATCCTTTAAATTAGCTTAATGATGAGTATTACACATGCTGGGAGGATTTTATTAGCATTTCAAAGTTTGTATCCATTAGTCGGTACAAGACAGAACCAGGTGCATGGTTGTACACAGTGTATGCACATAGTTGTACAACGTGGAACCACCTGTAGACTTTCAGCCATAAAAAAAGTGCATCTGTTTTATGGGTGTAATGTACACTAGAGCCACCACAGACTCTTGTACCATACTTCGTAAAACATGTTGGGAAGTGATATAGAGCTCGCTGATTGGCTGCTTGCGGTCCTATTGAGGCCGGCCATTCTAGTTAAGCTGAAGCAGTTGTGGGGAGGTAGCATAGGGTCCTGTGCTATGCTACCTTTTTTTCTGTTTCATCGTGAGACATAATTCCTTTTTAGTTTAACAGAATTTACTTTCAAAGGGTTGCTTGTCGGCGTAGTTTGAAGCGCATGCAATCTTGTGTGGGGATGCTTCGTTCGGTGGATTAATTTGGATGCATGATTGCTGTACTAAGTGGGGATTCTTGGGATTTCTGTACTTGGCATTCATTAACTCTAGCCCCGCTCTCCTTGCGTGAATTTGGTGGTTACTAGGAAACTTTTTAAATGCTGCACGATATTCGTAGACTTCCGCGCTTACTTAGCAGTTTTGGGCATCATTGGTCCTATCTCCTCCTACACAGTTTTCCAACTTTGGAACTAGACATGCTTTAGGAGACCAGTTTCGATGCTCCGACGTGATGAATAGTGGAGATGAATTTGAGTATCGTCATCAATTATATGTCGTTTAACTAACATTCTCGTGACCAGAACTGCCTCTGTTCTTGGTTCATTGCAGGAACTTCCATGCAATTGGGAAAGGATTTCTTTGAGGGTGTGGGAATGTTGGGACATGGAGGGAGTGTGAGAGCAGTTGCCTAAATATGTGATGCCACTTCCCATTGCAGAACGTTGCGCTGTCGCTTTGTGTTGGACGAGTGACGACAGGTGGTGCTCCCGCCTTTTTGTTTTTTCCCCCCCCTCTTTCGTCTCCTCTCCCATCGCCTGTAGGTTGTGCCCCGTGTCGCAAGGTTGCCTCCCCATAAGGACGATGCTCTGGGCAATGTCCGGAGTGGGACTTAGAACCCTCGGTAGGCAGACGCTACGTTACCACCCATCGCCTGACTTTTGCGTTTCGACTGTTGGTCCGACTCGAGGGTTGTGGGTGGTGGGGGGGGTTGGTCGTGTGGTGTTTGAGTATGAAACCTTTTAGATTGGCTCCCCTGTTTGGCCTACAGATGACATTTTTTGAAGCAGGAAGGGGAGGCTTGGAAGTTGGCTGTCTCCGGCTATGGAATGGGGATAAGATCTTTTTTTTTTTTAGATTCGAGACTTCGGGAAATTAGAATTTCACGTGTGAAATAATAGAAACGAGTGGACTGTCACAATGCGCACGACCTATGCTCCTTTCATTACTAAGTTAGGGGCGGTGGAAGCTATGTGCTCGTTAAATTGGTCATATGACCTATGCTCCTTTCATTACTAAGTTGAGGGTGGTGGAAGCTGTGTGCTCGTTAAATTGGTCATATGTTGCTCGTCAGGCCCACGTGCAGAGAGGAAGTAACGTTGATTGGTCCAGCACGTACGTAGCTCCCACCGTCCTGTCGGCTTAGAGGTGAGCGAACTATTCGACACGCGACACAACGGACACTGTCTTTGTGGCTGGAGAACCGCCTTCCAGTGCAGATGCAAGGTCACTCCCGTTGCACTCGTACCAGTTGGCGTGCCGCAACTTCACCGCCTAAAAACGTGCTGCACGGGCACACATTTCACCGAGCTGAAAACTTGACCTGTAACTTTTTAGGAACCGAAAGAAATTCGAAACTAGCTCACAAAAATGTACAAATAAGTTTTAACGTGGCTCATATTCTTATTTTTTGTTTCTCTAACTTTCTGTTAGAATTATTTTTGTGCGGATTTATTTCGACATTCGATGTTGCGTCGGGGATGCTGAAGGTTTCGTATTTCTGTTCTTTCGCAGCATGGGAGGCACCCAGGACGATAGTAGCCATAACGAAATGGTGAGTGCACCTTCCTCCATCCTTGTGGGTCTGGCACTTTTTATTTCCCGGTCTGGTCTCTCCCTTGGATCGCCGGGTAGGCTAAAGTGCGACACAAAGAGAGCCGTGAAGCACTGGCTGAACCCCGGCTCCTTTTATCCCTCGGGATGAATATTTGTGGGGGGCGGCTGGCAAGATTGGCTGACAAGCTTGCTAGATTGGTGTCACTCTCGATTCACAGTTAATCCCAAACTATTAGTGACTGACCCCTAATACTTTCGAAGTGTAACCTATGTATAAACTAGTGAGACAAGTCCTTAAACAATGTGGAGTACTTGTATTCTAAATTTTGTAAGAATGTCCGAAACAGGTCTCTGTGAACAATAGTGCCCTAAACTTTCGTTTATTTATTTATTTCATTATTTTTTCGAGCGCTGTTACTGGAATACATTTAAATCGATGCTACATAAATATGTCATTGCCTTCCAATCAATCTGAGGTTTTGTTTGTCAAAAACCTGCCATGGGCAATTACTGTTTTATTGCATGTTTACAGGCTCTGTACTCTGGCATTGAATTTACTCTTCACAAAATATCTGCTGGCTAAAAGGAAGATGTAAGAGCTGGGTACAGGTGAATGAAAAAAAAAGAAATGGCTTTATTTTAGAATTTGTACCGGAAGTATGCTTGTACAAAATCTCTAATGGTATAATTTTTCAGAATTAATTTTTCTATTATTAGTAGGGTTCCACATTTTCGGAGTTTAATTTTGCAGGAAATTTGGAGGGTGTTTCTCGGAGTTTAGTTTTGTTCAGAAATTCGGAGGTTATCAGATTTTATTTCTCTTTGATTATCAGTTCTTTAAAATTAAGGTTTGATTTCATCTTTTTTTCAATTTTGCAAGATTCCGGGCTAAATTTGTAAAACAGCTCTTCGGTGTCAAATGATATTTCTTAAGCTTGATTTGGCGTTGGCACCCTTGACAATGGTAATACTAATTGTCTCACGTCGATACCTCAAAAAAGTCCGTGAACCCGCTGACGTAGTTGGTGAGAAACTAGTTTTCTTCCGATACCATTCCACTACCCCACCCTACGGTTACACGAACCCGGGGAAGTGGTGAGGCATTTTAACTGCCCTAAACTCTCATAAAATCTAAGCATTCGTAGCTTTCACTGTTATAAAAACACAAACCTCTTTGCCCCAAAAAAGCAAGAATCGTATGGTCTAAATTGGAAACCCAAACAGTGGCTTTTATTGGGACTCACAAGTAGAATGACTCGTTGGTCCTGACCAAACCTTGTTGAGATAAGCGGTACACTCTCTTTTTTGTTGGTGATCTAAGATTTGATAGAAAATTTTGAACCAATGAGCCTGTGCTTTGAACACTTTTTTTCATATAAAATACTTTTTTTTTTTAATTGTGATTTGAACTTTTGAAGGTATTGGATAAATTTGAATTGACAAAAATTTTACAGGCAAAGAATGCTTTGGATTTGGAAACACGAAACCCTAATTATAAGCAAACAATAAATACAAGCTTTAGAGATGTCACAAACTTTATTAAAACCTGAGGATCAAAGATTGAACCAAGGGGTTTGAAAGTTGAAAGTTAAATTTTATGATCTTCGAACTTTCATACCTATTATATTTAAAAATTGTGAAGTTTACAAACTCACTGCATTGAGAAATCGAAAGTAACGGAGAGCATGCAGGTGAGCTGGGGGACTTTCAACATCTTGAGCGCTAGAGACTTGGAAGCAAAAAGTTGACAACCCACTTTTTGTCCACTTTTTTCCCCGCTCAAGTTGAACACTGGGTGTTCAAGATGTCGAGAAATCTGACAATTTTCAAGCTTTCAACCTGCAAAGTTCGAAAGTCTGACTTCGAAACATTGAAGGTGGTTCAGAGGTGAATTGAATTTATCCAAAAAATATACTGCAGCCAGAACCTACTTACATCAAATGAACTGTTTGCAATGGCTGTAAGTTTACAGCAACTTTGTACAAGCTTTTCTAGGAGAGGGAGGTGCCTGCTTTTAAAGGGATGCTGAACCGAAATCTGGATTCCCCAAAACCCGCGGCAAAAGCGTGCAACGGGATGCTACAAACACCAAAACATCACTCGTACAGCAATATCTCGAACGGATGACCATATTTAAAAAAAAAAAAAAGAGGTGCATTTGGCAGGAACGTTGACGTTATGTTTCTCCGAGAAGGAGAGGGAACGGCCTTGCGTCTTCTCCGCTTTGCGGCCTTGAGGGAGCGAAGCGAAGACAGGAGGAGACTAGGTATCTTGACGTCACGCGCCTCGTCGACCTGGTTCAATCTCGACTTCTTTTTCCACAAATACGGCTGTCTATTTGAGATATCGTCTTACTGGTAGTGTTGTAGGCATTGTAGCGTACCGCCTACACTTCCAGCATTGTTTTTTCGAAATACAAATTTCGGTTCACCATCCATTTAAAGAGGGGGGGGGGGGGGGGAGAGAGGAGGGAGGGAGTGCTACGCATATGCGTGGCATTAACTTGGCATTGAATCTTGACATAGCTCATGTGTCAGCTTCAAAATTAACGAAAATACTGTTGCCTTTAAATATATATATACAATTATTTAAGGTGGGAAATGTCGGTAAAACAAAGATGTGAATGCGAGATTAGAAAACTTGGAACTTTGCGAACTTGGGCAGAAATTAGAAATATTCAGATTTTTCTACCTTAAAACTTAAAAAAAAAAAGAAAAAAGTATGCAAAGGGGAAAAAACGTACTTAAACAGTCTGGTGACAAAAAGATCTCGTTTAAATAAATTTACAACGAAAAAGAATTAAGGGAGCCGCTACTAGTCACGTGGTAGACCTGTGCGCCGCCTGCCGCTGCAAATTACGCCGAAGGAAATCAGTGCCACCGCCGTCAATTTCTGATTGGTGCACAGTTCTGTCACGTGGTGCTAGCACTCTTCGTATGAGCTCTAAAAGTTACTTTTAATCTTAGTTTCTTTTTCTTTTTTTTTGTGGCACTTAATACGAAGGTTAATAGCAGTTTCTAGAGCCCATAGGTAGCTCTCGAAAGAGTGCAAGCACTCGTTACTATAGCAGCCACTTTTTCGCTGGCTCCTGTGGGCAGAAACTACAAATTTGGTTCACACTGTAAATATAGCTTTAAATATATATATACACAGTCAGGTCTCGTTAATATGGACTCCATTAATGTGGATACCCCACTATATGGACACCACTTTCGGGGTCACACTGGGAAAATACATGCATTTTTGTCTCGTCATTATGGACAACTCACATTATGGACGGTTTTTTACAGGACCCGAGATGTCCATATTAACAAAACATCACTATATATATATCAGGGTGTCGAACCGGAACCGAACCAGTATTTTTTCCGGAACTGAACCCGAACCCGAACCATTATATTGTTATCGCGATGAACCCGAACCGGAACTGAACCGGAAAAAAAATAACGGTTACCGGCTCATGTCAAAACGGTTCGGCCACACGTTGTTGACAATGAATGTGCTATCAATGCCATTTGTTTTTTAAGTGCTGTCAACTGACACACACCCTCGCTTACATATTTTTCTTCTCCACTCAGTCTTAGGAATATAAACGCTGCATCCATGAATCTTGACATAGGAACCAGTATTGCGCTGGTCGCGGCTTGCACGGAAGAAAAAGAATTAGAAAGCTGTGCAAAAAAAAAAAAAAAAAATCGCGTCACGGGATTTCATTTTCCTACAATCTCGTAAATCCTAAATGCTGCTGTGTGCTCATTTCATAACACGTTTCTAGAACGCGCGAGTTCCTGAAGCTTGCTTTTATCGGAATGAGAAAAGAAAAGGCTGTGGAGTTTGATAATAATGCATCCGGTTTCGTATAGGCACTTAGAAGCTAACATATTTGTGAGACAGCGAACTCTTATATTTTAATATTTATCCTATTACGTCCTTCTGGCGTTGCGTTCGGTGAAGTGTTTTTGATATTCCGTATCTTGTTTAATGAAAACTTCTGTAAGGGTCTAATTTGAGTTACCGAAGGCAAGTTCAAATAAAGAAAGCTGTATTTTCTCCCCACTGTTCCTTCAATTGCTTACACGCCGAGGTGGCGGGATAGTTAGCGAGTTCTACTTGTAAGTGGGTTTCTATGGAGGTCGCGGATTTTACAGCTACTGCGTCGGACCCAATTAGATGAAGTCCGAATGCGTAAACGTCGGTGAGGTAACCTTTGAGTCCACATAAAGAAACCATTCCTGGTAGAAATCCCTGAGCCTTACACTACGATGTATCCCGTTTCGTATGTGCTGATTTCAGACGTTTTGTTTGTAATTTATTTTGATGTTGCAATTTGTCATTTATCATTTCCAAACCGGTTCGCGAACCGGTTCAGCGGCCCGAACCGGTTTGCGGATCGAATTAATCGAACCGGAACTGAACCGGAACAAAATTAATTTACCTGAACCGTAACCGAACCCATATTTTTTTCGGTTCGACACACTGATATATATATATATATATATATATATATATTTTTTTTTTTTTTTTTCGTTTTAAATTTGTTTTATGACATCCTTTTTCCATCCAGGCTGTTTTTGATTTTTTTTCTTGGGTTTTTTAAAGAAATTTGAAACTGTCAGACTAGAACTTTCAGAAACATTGAAAGCTCGAACCTTGGAAGGTTTGTGACATCTCTAGTAGTGGCTGTCCATCTGATTTGTGGACCATGCTTCTGAAAGCATGGTCTACAAATTTGGTTAAATGGCCACCGCAATGCTTGGGAGGGCAGTGACAGCTACAGTAAAGTGAGACGGTGAAAATGGGTGAATATCCAGAGTAGGTTATGCACACTTGACATGGATCACTACGGATTCAAGAAAAAGTCACTATATGACGTCGCCCGTACAGGTGCGCCGCGTTTTGATCTTGTAAACAGAACATACTAAAGAGTGATTAAAAGGTATTACTTGTCCAGAGTAAAACACATGTCCAACGTATTTTGTGGTTCATTTTAGTTCCTTTACGGATTCCAGAATTGTAGGTTTTTCTTCGGTAGATCACTATGCAAATAAAACACTTGGTAAAGTTAAAGAATTATGGAAGTATCTTTTGTGGTGCTGCAGTGGCGAGTTACGCGCTCCTTAATTGGGCTGTCATTGTTGTTTCACGCAAGAACGATGCTCGTGAGCCAGGGCAGTAAAGATGGGGGCAGAATGGGGTAAACCGTAAGCGTCGACATCGGTGATCCCCAGAGAGAGAGAACGAGAAAGAGAGCAACAGAAAAGTGGAGAAACAAAGTAGCCGGAAGGTTAGGTGTTTTCACTTTGCTGCGCCGAGTCAAAGTTGTTTGTGTGCTTCTCAACTTTATTTCGTTCTATACAATGTGCATTTCTGGGGGTGTCCTGCAAAGTAATCTTGAAATGAACTAGGTACAGAACTTACAGGTCATGTTTTGCCGCTTCTTTGTATATATTAAGATGTCGCCTGTGGTGTAAGCCCATTGGAACCGCCCACTGGGACCGCCGATGTTCGCATCTGTGCCCGCCATTCCAAAGTGGCCAGATAGAACGGGACCTTTTCCTCTAGATCGGCGGGGTTCTCAACCATTGCTGTTTCGCGGGTGCCTTGTAGGTAGGCGTAGATGATGGAGGACACTGTTCGGGGTGAGGGGATAGAAAGGTATAGGGTAATCATGTTAATGATTTAAGAAATGAATACAACTTATCGCTTGTATGAAGTAGACTTATCTCGTTGACATACACACGAGATCACTCACTCGAAAATTGGAATGTTTCTTCTCAATGTGAAAAAAGACAAGTTATATTATCGGGCTTGACTAATGACAGAGGGTTTTGCGGACCCCTAGGATGCCATTGCGGACTCCCATTTGAGCACCACTGCTCTAGATTATTATTACGTTAACTGTTATGTTGGGAGCATCACGGGGACATTGGGGCGGTGTTGTAAAGGGGGTGCCCCTCTCCGACGGGCAGAGCGCCAACGACACGACGTCGATCCGGGAGGAGGAGCCGACGCTGGAGCCGGTGAACGGCATCGTGCAGCCCCCCTTCGTGCCCCCGGCGAGCAAGAAGCACCGCAACACAAACCAGCTGCAGTACCTGCTGCGGGTGGTGATGAAGGCCATCTGGAAGCACCAGTTTGCCTGGCCCTTCCAGCAGCCCGTGGACACGGTGCGGCTCAACCTGCCGGACTACCACCGCATCATCGACCACCCAATGGACCTGGGCACCATCAAGAAGCGGCTGGAGAACTACTACTATGCCTCGGCGAGCGAGTGCATCCAGGACTTCAACACCATGTTCACCAACTGCTACGTGTACAACAAGCCCGGGGAGGACGTGGTGCTCATGGCGCAGGCCCTCGAGAAGCTCTTTCTCACCAAGATCAACGAGATGCCCAAGGAGGTGGGTTGAGCGGAAACCTGCACGTCTGCTTTCCCAGCGTCTGTCCAGGGTGTAGCAGGGTTTTTTGTCGGCCTAGCTGAAGCACAATGCTCAGGAAGCTATTAAGCACGAGCAGAAACGGGCACGAACAAGCGCTTGTCTGCGTCCCCTTTTTCGTGTCTGTCTGTTGGTGCTTGCAAGTTCCCTGAGCCTGTGTCCCGAGACTTGGTCGGCTCCGTTTATGGAAGGGAAACTACGATTGACAAGAATTATATTGTGTCTGAACCGCAGATGATAATCAGTGTTAGGATTTCGAGCATGTTCAGTATCCCAGCGTAGAAGTTGCCGTTGGTTACTAGAATGAGACCGATTGCTTCGCACGATTAAATGTGAGGTGCGTTGCTCTTTCTGGATGAAAACAGGCACGTGATATTGCTATGCTTTGTTTCAGTGTAAGTTACTCGGCAAGTGACGAAACTGCAGCCCCAGTGACGTGAAAAAAGCTTTAGAATCGGGCTTGCAACAGTGCCCCACAGAAGCTCACTCCAAGGAATATCAGCTTCCGTCGTTTGCCAAATTATGTTAGAACAAAGTATAACACTTTTGAGAGGCACGCATTGCTGACCATTTAATGGGGTTGCTTCGTTGCGGGAGGGGAATGTAGTATGTGCAAGTGGAAGATGAGATTAGATCATTTGCTTTTGCGAAATATTTTTCAGTTCATCCGCACCGTTGAGAAGCAAGTTTGCAGGGTATTGATGGTAATGAAGTGGTTATTCTGGCCTACGATGCCCTTAAGGGGGTGGTCAGTGACTGCTTACAACTGAGTCTTTCCACTTTTGGCAAATAAGCCTAGAAAACTAACTCTGAGAATGTTGGTGACATTCTCAAAGCATGTTGCCACACCCACCCAAAAGTTTTGGAATCAAAACAACATTTCTTTTGCGACCCGACGATGTCGCTCGGGACGACATACCAGCAGAGATATTGGAAGCACATGTCCACAACCTAGTTAATAATGTCTTTGTGGTGAATTTCAGCTGGCTTATGCAGTCTAGTGGTATGACGTCTATTTGAAAAGACCCTCTCTAGCTCGCTGGGAAGTGTGCTTCCTCCACGTTTTCACGTCTATCGCTCGACTACACGTTTGCCTCTCCATACTGGGCATGACACGCAGGGTTAAACGTTACCTGCGCTGTCAAATCTTGGGAGGCTACAAAAAAGCTCTCTGTTTAATCCCTGTGTCGGCCTACTGCCCCGGCAACAGATTCATGGCGGAGACACACGCTATATAAGCAACGGGCCTGCTTGGCAGTTCCCACTCGTGAAAGTGCGGACATTGTCGAGTCATTCGAAAATAGTCGCTGACGGGACAAGATGCCCCTCTTCCATGCGAGTTTACTACTTTCTATGACACTTCACCGTCTCGTGTGCTTTGAGCGTGCACGTGCGGCCGAAGCACACGGCGGAAGGCAGGGAGGGCGTGCTGGAGGCCGGACGTTCAAAAAACACCCCTTACCGTTCTCACCTAGCCGGTAACTATTAAAGAAAGTTGTTGCTCGGTGCTCGAGTCTCGTGTACGGGCATAGCTTTTGGCACATGGTGGAGGCGACTTGGCTACGGCGAGTAGGTACCGATCCGAGAGACGTATCGGTGCAGTGGACGTTTTCTATCTATGAAACTGGCTCTGGTGCCGAGAGGTTGCACACAGTGGCGGCACATTTGTAACCCGGCATGACTGCTCGCCGCAGGAGGTGGACCTTCCGCTGCCTCCCCCGAAAGCCGGAGGGGCCAAGGGCAAGAAGGGCAAGGGCAAGACCATTGGAGGCGTGGCTGCCACCACTGGGGTGGCAACCGGCCCTGGCTCCGCCGTGGGTGCCAGGGGCAAGGGTGAGTGTCCCGTGCAAACGCACGCGCTCTTTTTTTTAAAGGCGGGACGGTTGCATGACACACAAACTCCGTGCCATCCAGGGCTCGCAGCTTCCACTTATATTCTGGTTTTAGACTGGTGAACTTTGTGGAGGTGCTATTTGATTCAATTTGTTATTGGTGCCTGCACTGTTTTATGCACTTCTAATTTCCCAACTGATCCGATCCTCTGGGCTGTTGGGTAGGCTGAGGTGCCACATCGACCGCTGCCGAGACTTTCCTTATCACCCTTTCGTATGACAAATCGGTCTGGTTGAAAGTGGTGGCAAGTGTGCGCACACACTCCTAGTCTGCCTGAGGTCGAAGCTAAGTTCAACGTGGCTGGTGACAAAATTGCCGTCACGTTTAAGCGAGCATGCTGTTAATTAACTGGTGTTTGAATGGACTTGTGTAAAAAAATGAAAGCCGTTTACAATTCCCTGTAACGCCGGTTAGAGCGCAGCTCTTGAGGGGGAGGATGGAAGCGTACTGAGGAATAGGTGACTCCTTGAGGTCACGTGACCTCAAGGGGGGTCACGTGATGTTGAGGGAGGGGGGTCACGTGACCTCAGGGGGCGACGTGACCTGATGGGGGTCACATGACTTCAGGGGATCACGTGACCTCAGAGGAGGGGGAGAGGGGGTCGCATACCTCAGGGGGTCACGTGACCTCGGGGGGTCATGTGACCACGCGGGGTCATGTGACCTCGCGGTTACGCCGACGCCGCTCAAGCCGGAAACGAGCCCCTAAGAGCTGCGCTCTAAAATCAACTATAGTTCATTGCAACTCAAGAAGGTAGGGTGAGGGTAAGATGGGACGGGAAGGAGGAAGCAGACAAAACGCTAAAGAGAGGAGGTTTCCCCCTTTCTTCTCCAGCGTTCCGTCTGCTTCCTCCCCTTGGCCTATCTTACCCTCGCCCTACGTTCTTGAGTTGCAACAAATTACAATTGTGTGCTTTAAAAAAATTTTAAGCATATTAATGTTGCATTTTCTGGCTGTATTTGGTCGTTTACAAGTGGCTCTTTGTGTTCGGGATTCATCGGATGGGGCCAAAGACAAGTGCTTACCCTCGGAAATGGCTTAAAACAAAGGTCACCGGATTCCGAGTTCAGTAACAAACGGGGTAGAAGCTGAGCTAGTTAGTGGTACATATTACAAAGGTTAAACCAGCTGAACTACGAAAATAGGGAGAAAGGAGTAAAGCCCAGCGATCGCTTGTCTTTACTCCTTTCTTCCTATTTTCGTAGTTCAGCTGGTTTAACCGTTGTAATCAGTAACAAAGTTTGCGATTGGCAGCTGGTGTTGAGATACGTCACCTCCGTCCCTCGTAAGAGATCTGTATGCCTAGGAGATGCTTTGCACACAGTCTGTTTAGATGGCTCCTTTCCAATGAAAGAAGTGGCTGGAGTGGTGTTTTTTTAATAGGACATGCACCTCCTCCCCCAGCATTAGTGTAATGTCTGCGGCGGTCGATTAATGACGAGGCGATTCTCGCACGTTTGTTTGCTCTGCCTGGATACAGTAAGCAGTCTGTCTGGCAGTTAGCAACAGCTCGAGGAAGGCGGGCATGGCAAGACAGACACGGCATTAGCCAACAAGAAGGCGCAAGTAGGAATTGGGAAGCAAGAAGTGCAAACTCAGAGGGGTCTTTCAATCATATTTAAGCGTCTACCTTTTTTGCGGTTTCAGTGTCTCTTGGGGGTTCGGGCAAACCAGAGGACACAGGGAGAGGAGCTAAATATCAGTGTGTCATATTTTAACCGGCCGGCGCGGAAACCTCCTCCACCTATGGGGGCGGCCCGCTTTGCCGAAAGCGCTTGATATGTGAGGTGTTTGGCCCTAGGCTTACTACTGGTCAGAGCCGCTAAAAGCTTCTTTTTAATTGAAATACAAGATATAAGTGGCACGAACCGTTTTAATTATTTATAAAAGTCGTTTTTGTTCAGTATTTTAAATCGGAAAAGAAAAAAAATGCAGCTTATAAAGTAAGGAAACAAGAAATAACCCGTCGACATACCCGACACCAAGCGGTGGAAAAGGCGGCGCATACTATACTTCGTTTCAGCTTCCGTCCGAGCGCAGCCAGAGGCTGAGGGACGGTTCGCAACTTCGAGAAGAGCATTTCTACGCACCACAAAGTAGTCCGCAAAAGTTTTTTTCTTTTTAGTAACTGGTACGTAACCAATGCACAATGTTCCATATGTGTACTGCTGAGAATGATGTGCAACTAAAATAATTAATTATCTGAAGTTTATGTTTTTATTATTATATGTAAATGCATGTGGTTTGGAGAAAATACGTACATCCGCTGGCAACACGGCTGCAGCGCTCGGTTTTTTTGTGTGATTTCGTTCCCGTAATGGCCAAATCATGTGCTTCGCTGCTTTCCTCACCGAGTCGCTTCAAAACATCCTTTCACAAAGTCACGCTCGGGCGTCAGGCGCGAGAGGTCGTGATGAATGTCTACTTTCATATTCGGCAGAAGACTCCGGCCGCGTCGTACCGCGAATGCGTTGTAAACAAGAAAAGCGTCCGGGCCACTACAATTCACTGATGCGCGGCGAAATCGGGACACCCCTTTACCTGCCGATCACATTGAACGCCGAGAAGCTGGTGGAAAGGACTACGCTTCGAGCCCTGGTATATCCAGACAATACAAGGAAACATCAACGGCCGGGTCATCGGGCACCTTGCATTGTGTACCTACGTCTCAAAACTGTGCCGGAATGCCAGACAGGTGGAAAGCTCGGACACAGACACCAGCGGCCAGCTTACGTACTCACATCCCCTGTGACTAAATTTCAGAACGTGTACAGGCACTTTTTGGACTTGTAGCAGATGATACCGTTGATACACCCTTAGCAGACGAAATACTCGGAGAGCGCGGGCGGCGCGGACGACCAGTGGCGCAGCGGAGTGATACAAAAGTGCAGGCAAGATCACGTGACTTATTGCCGGCGTGTGATTAGCTCCGACCACACGTAGCTTTGGCTGCGCTCGGACGGAAGCTGAAACGAAGTATAGAAAGGTGTAGTGGGATCAGGCACGGACGAGCAGCAAGCGTAGAAAGGTCCCGGATGTACGCGGTGGCGCTGCGGTCGAGGATCCGACCGGTTCCGAGCATTCCGAAGGCCTTCCGCGAGCAGGTTTGGCCTACAGTTTGGCCGTTTGGTGGTATGGCAGCGCCGAAGTGGCTCCCGTTCTAAACTGATCTTTACCCTGTGTTTGCTGTAGTTTGTGGCCACTGAAGTGTCATGCCGAATTAGTGTTTAGTCGTGCAGCAAATGCAATGCGAGCCGCCCTGGCTGCCCGCTTCCTACAGCCTATCCAGAACATGCTTTAGTGGCGCCCTCTCGAGCCGTCGACACTGAGTGCGGCAGCCGTGAGCGCTCGCTGAGCTCACAACCCCTTTTCTAGTTCATGGCCACTCAAGCGACCGAGGACGTCGTGAAGGAGGTTATTTTTTGCTTGTTTTTGTAATTTTAATTTGCCTGCAACTTTCGAAATAAAGTGAAATTCGAGAAAGGAAAAGTTTCAATAAGTTACTACGTTCAGTGCACTCAAGTTCGGTGCAAATTAAAAACCAGTCTAAGGCCAGTGTCTGAAACAACACCGGTAACCATGGTTGCGCACCCGAGCGGATTCCTCCGACCGACGTGTGGAAATTTGCGAGAGGGATGGGTTCCGTCTAACCGCGAATGCGTCTGTCCCCTCCCCCTGTGCAGGCCCGAGCCCCGCCCGCAATGCGGTGAGCCCCGCGCCCCTGGTGCCGGTGCCGACGACCAACTCGCACTCGCCGGGGGAGGCGCCCTCCCTGGCCGCCGCCGCTGCGGCCATGCCGCCCCCGGTGCCTGGGAGCACCAACACCACCACTGCGCTGAGCGCCACCTCTCCCACCCTTCGGTCGGCCACCTACGCTCAGCAGGTGCGTGGCTTGGCCCTGGGGCTTTGTTACGGTTTGCCTGGCTCGGCTTGGCTGCTGGGACGAGCTTGGGAGCTTGGCACAGTCGGGGCTTTTTTGCTGGCCGTGCCGTCGTGGCGCCACAAAAGACAGTGAGGGGCCACGTGGGGTGCGGTGGGGGAGATGAGAAAGCTTGTTTTGAATTCTGAGTTAGCAGATAACCTCATTATGGTTTGTAAGACCTTATTTGATTCCCATACTTTTTTTTTTTTTTTAGGTTATATGTGCTTGTATTTGCTGCCCATATCTTCTATTGTTGGGTTCTTGGAGAAATTTATAAATTTTGATCGTACCTGAAGCATGAACAATGTGAGGATAATATATCTTTATTTCGTTTCATCGTACGGGGGACCAAAACAGAAAGCTGCTGCAGCAGTTTGACGGACGTCCTGGCCCTTTTCACAGCAAGCAATTCCCATGCAATTTCAGAAAACTAACAAAATAGGTACCTTGAGAGTAGGGGCGCTATTTTAAATGTACAGATCATACAAGGTGAGGAAAAAGGGGAAATTAATAAATTCATTGTAGTACACAATGGTACATTGATCCGTATGCCTTAGCTGTACCAAAGAAAACGACCCGAAAATAATGCTCGTACCTCTATAGTTATTTTCCCTGTTCTAAATGGCAGTATCAGTTGAGCGTTTCATGTCTGAACAATGTCCAAAAATAAAGACTAGCCGCAGCTACCTAATTTGTTTCTTTCCTGAAATTGCCATTTGATTGCGTAGGATTTTAGCTTCTTTAGGTAGATGTGTGGCTACACTGGCTTTGCTTCTTATATATATATATATTAATTTTGATAGATTGACCCTTACCATGCAGCTGTCGGCATTTCTGGGGACTCATAAGCTGCATGCAGTTTCTTGTTGACACGTTACTCTTAAAAACAAATGGCTGTTCCTGACCACCTGGAAGCTAGACCATTTTTTCTTGTTTTTTATGGGCTCACTCTTGTCCTCCAGTAGTGCCTAGTTGTCAGTAACGGCAGTGCAGCTCTATTTGACAGTTTTCAAAAAACACTGACCGGTCAAAATAGTATTGTTTTTCTTTATTATCCGGAACGACGAAAAACGATGCCTGGACATTACCCTCAAAATTCAAAGCTTGAGAACTCAGTATTTGTAAAGCAAAAAAAAAAAAAGAATTTCCCACAGCCAAATTAGAAGTTCCCGCGCGATCCGCGCCAGTGCAGGGACGTCAAAGATTGAGCCGTCCTGCGACTCGAGTTTCTCTCACGCCTCCGGACCGAAGTGTCGCGTTTACCCTCGTCCCATGATCAACCGCTCTCCTCCATGCGTGCCCGCCTATCGCTGTGAGCGGACGACGCTTCACTTTTGAGTCGGCGGTCTCAAATTTTTTGAGACTGTATGAGGTCGAAGAGAATGTGCAGTGGACTTTTGCGAACGACGTGAGGGGCCACGTCGGGGCCGGTTCTGCGTGAAAGGCTGCCCCAGCAAAGTCGCAACTGAAACTACGGTGCACGGACACGAAACCCACTTGTTTTCACCATTTGACGATTTCCTTTTTGAAGTCTAGAGGTCGTTGGGCAACTAAAAAAGAGAACTTTGTTTGAATCCCCGATTCATTGATCATCCTCGGTGCATGTGCCGAGCGACATCACTCTGGACTCCGATTTTCTGTATTTCAAAAAGAAGGCCAGTGCATTCGCAATTACATTGAAAAACATATTTTACAAAAGCTGTTATTAAATGTTATAGAAATGTCGATTACAAAGCTTATAAATTTCATAATTATTACGTCGCAGATTAAAAGAAGCGAGGAAATGAGAAGGAAAAGAGAAGCAACAAAAATAAAAAAGCGTGCACATTAAAAAAAAAATTTCTGCATGTCGTATTTTTTTGCATGTGTGCAACTACAACTCATCATTTAACAAAAAAAAAATACAACATGCAAAATAAAAGAGAAAAAACTATAAATAATGATTGTGGTGAGTCTTAAAAAGCAAGTAGTCTTTTAGCTTATGCCTTTCACTGACACCCTTAAGTACAACACCCATTTAAGGCGTAGAGCTCTTTTTGAGGCAAGCCCTTCTTTCCAAACACGGCAGTTTTGAGGTAGATGCTGCTGTTGGGGGGGGGGGGGGGGGGGGGGGGCTGTTTGCAAATGTGTTAACGGTTGTGGGGACCCAGAATCTCATCGCTGTTTATTGAGGGCTTCGCATTAGCTTAGCACCCGGGCCAACAATATGCGCCACATAGAAAGGATTGGGCCGCCGTTGGCACTCGGGTAGCTGCACCGCTGGCTTAGGTGGCCCCGGAGAACCGAAGAGCGTGTTGGTGGCCGTCAAGGCCCGTAAAAAGAACGAACCGACGAGGCGCTCACGTCGTTTGACCGGCAACCTCGGGTTTGGTTCCCGTCGGTGCGCTTTGGCACTGGTTCATCCGTTCTGCGGTGTGGGGTGTTCCGTTGTGGTGCCTAGAAGGTATCTCTGACTGGTGTGCTCAGCATCCTCTTCCCGTCGTGCATTGAAAGCGAACCCGAAATGGCAAGAAATGATGTTGCAAAAGGGAGGGTGTCATGCCGTGGGATGTTGTGACCCTGGCGGTTGGGCATAGAAGTTCTGGAAAAAAGCACGATAGAATCCGGGCGTCACTGTTACCGCGGTGTCCCAACTGCTGGCTGTGGAAGCTTCCGTGGCTTGTCGAGCCGAAGAGCTACCTGCAGTGCCGCTCCGCCGCTCCTGCAACATCGCCAGGGTTGCAGCCGGAGACGCACTCCGGGCGCCGTAGTGTTGTCATTGCCACGGGGCTTGTGTGTATGTGGGGGGAGTGCTCGCTGCCGGCTCGTGGGTGGAAGAGGCTGGAGCTCTGGGGGGAACGCGCAGGCTGCGGCTGCCCTGGCGTCGTCTGCTGCTGCCGCGGCAGCGGCCGCGGCCTCTCTTGGCGGGGGGCGCCACGGTGGCGGCGGCGGCGGCGGCGGCTGCGGCGGCGGGTAGCCCCGTGGGGGCGGCGGCGCCCCTGCCCGGCCCGCCCCCGGTGCCCCCCGACCTGGCCCCGGCCCCGAGCCTGGCCGGGCCCAACTCCCTCCTGCCCCCCGTGCAGATGGCCCCCGCCCCCGCCTCCAAGGTGAGCTTCCACCCCCGGGGAGCGAGGCGCTGGCCCGAGAGGCGAGAGGTAACTAACGACCCCTCCACGGAGGCACACCACCCCTATCTCTCTCTCTCTCTCTCTCTCTAGTCCGCCGTCCCCTTCTTTCTGTGCGCTTTGGGCCGCTCTTGCTTGCAGATGCGCACACATTAAAGCCCCTTCATAAGTACAGCATAATTGTCTTGGTTATACCCGATAAATTTGGAGACTCGCTGAATGTTTTGTGAAGCAGCTCGTTACGTAAGTGTGCGGGACGTCGCTTCACATCACGAGGCAACGAAGCGTCACTGCTTCGCATGACTCGACGCCTCGAACTATATGTCGGCCGAGCGTAACTTGCCGCTTTTTTCACGAAACCCAGCCCTATATCACATTCTGCTTTAAAAGTATTGCCGTTGGTTGTTGTAAAAAGACGCCAGACTCTGAGCTCGCACCACTTCTGCGAAGGTCTCGGCACTACTTTTAACGTACGGAGGGGCTTTAGAGCATGTAAATTGGAAGAGTGGTCAGTTTTCTTTCTATTGATTGTGGCAGAACCTGAATCTAAAGCTTAATTTTACCCTTTCGGGGTTCTGTACCGGGGTCCTTGCGTAAAAAGTACTTGGGCATGTGTTCAGCTCACGTGAGGATTTGCGTAACTCGGGCACTCTTTGAAGCTGTGCGGAAGCGTGTTGTTCTTAAAATTAGATGAACAGTTTGATCTCAAGAGCTCCCCTAGATGACGCTGTGCTGTTGCACATGTTGCTCTCAGCTTGGCATTTATTTTTTCTGACTTTTCATTGTTTGTATTGTAGGGCAGCTCTATTATAAACATTTTTACCCTTAGGGCAAAACTGTTTATAACAAAATCTTTTGAGTGTCACTGGACTAGAATAATTTTACTCAAACGGCACCAGAGAGGCGATTCAGTTTTCAAAAAAGAGAACACAACAGACTGTTCTTTTTCGTGCTCAGAGTGAGGTCTCGTGCACCGGATCTTCACGCAAAGTCAAAATTGGACATAATTAACAAGATTTGTCGAGCATCATTAAAAAAAAAATTCTATGTGTATTACCATAATTTAAGTACTTGGTGAGTGTTGTCAGCATGTTACAGATTCACTCATTGGGTGCCGGATGAATGACCTCACCGTAAAAAGGAAGGCTGGAAACATTTATAGTCAGTAACAGTTAAGAATGCGGTAATTTCCTCAATCGTGAGCGTAATGAGCCGGCATCAAGGCCCTCCGCTGTCGAGAAGATAGTGCATCATGTGCTCCGTGCCACAGCGACTGGCGACGTCGGTTTCAGGCGTCGGCTGAAAAGCGAAGCTGGACGCTGATCGAGCAGGACGTCATTGTTGCAAGGCGGTGAAGGTTGAGCATTACTTTGCACAGTGACAGAGAAGAGTGTGGGAAAGACATGGCTGGTAACTTGTCCCACGATGTCTACGTCTGCGACGGTGGTGGGATAAGGCAATCTTAGCTTACCCGACTTACCGTGCAGCTAATTGCAATTAAACTTGACAAAAGTGAATACCCTTGTCAACATTTCACGGATGAATAAATACAGCTTTGAAGGCTTCGTTTCACTAGGCATCCTTCATTTCCTTCGTTTTCATGTTGCCCCACAGAAACTGCCGCGAAGGAACACTCTTACCGACATGATTTTGTGACATAACTTGAGTTGAGGACAAGCAGCAAACGAACGAAGAGAAGCTATTGGCATTAACAAAGAGTGTCGATTTTAGTCTTCGCTAGGGATGTCGCGAACCACCCTAGGTTCGATTTCGAAAGGTTTCGATATTTGCGAAGCGAATTGAGATTCGATTTCGAAAAATTTCGATATTTTCGTAGCGACCGAGGTTCGATTTCGAAAAATTCGCAACTTTTGACCACAGCGGAGTTTCGAATTCGAAAATTTCGAAGCTTTCACGGTTTCCACAATTTCGAATTCGAATATTTCGACTATTTTTTTACTTCAGGTTCGATAAATTCGAAGATCTCGAAATTCTTTGTAAAAAAAATTCGAAAACTTCGAACGCTTCGATTTTTATAGACATGAAGTTCGAACAATTCGAAGATTTTGAATTTCTTTTTGCATAAAGTTCGAAAAGTTCGAAGGTTTCGATTCTCTTTTAACGCTAAATTAAAAAAAAAAAAAAAAAAACTTTGAAGATTTTGAATTTCTTTCTAATCCAAGTTTTCAAAGTTCGAAGTCCGATTTTCAAGTTTTTCCACAGTTTCAGTTTCAAATAACGTTTTCACGACTCACTGGTTTTCACGAAATCAAGTTTAGAAAAGTTAGGGTGTGAGATATAGATTCTGCGAAGTTGGTCAGGCAACTAAATGAGACGACGAGTGTCCCGGACGTGCTAGAATATTTGCCAGTGCAAAATTGTGACCGCCAGCCCCGGAGGGGGGGGGGGGGGGGGGGGGGGGGGGGGGTCTTTAACCTGCATCACGCAGTGATCACACGAACACACTGTTTTACGAGACTCATCCAGTTCGAAACGGCCAGGGGTGAGCAGGAGGTTGAGGCTCAGAAAAACCTTGAAGCGACCTGGCAAACTAGCTCGCCACCCCTTGCACGCTGGTAGTAATCCGATCCGGTGAAGTTTACAATTGTCCTGGAGGTTTATTTTCTGGGACGGAGGAATCGCCTCGCAAAAAGCACAAAAGCCGACACAACTCGAGGTCGAGGAGCGTTCTACCATACAAGTGGCGTCGGAAGAGGAAAAACGGGGGGAAAGAGGGTAGCGGGGGGGGGGGCTTCAGCCTCCTTCTCCCCCTTGCAGGTATTTCGAACTGTTAAAGAAAACAACACGGGGAATGAGGGCGTGGTCGAGCTTATTTTAATCTGAAATTATTTATCCATATGTATAGCTACTGTCGCTCTTCCCTGCATAAAAGGTTGCGTAGATGGTCATTGTTAGAAACTCGTTGTCAGAAGGCACTGCTCGTCACATGCTTAGTGGTTCGGAAGTTCAAAGCTGTCTTTTCGACCTAAACACCTGTGCCGATAGTAACAAAAAAAAAAAAAAAAAAGAATAAATGCGGAAATAAAAAGCAGGAGAAAAAAAAAAAACTATCAAGAATTCGTCGGAAGTGTTCTATTCTTGCATATTCAGAGGTTCAGAACTTCGAAACAAGTTTCTTTTAGCAAAATGTGTACAGGCTAAAAGAAACACGTCCCAGGAACGTGAAGCGAAAAAAAAAAAGTTTTCTTTTAATGACGTGCTGAACTTGAACACTATTAGAAATCTTCTCCCATGAGTTAATTTATTCCTTAACGTGAAAAAACAATAAATATATTATTTCGTATTCTGCAGACGGCAATGATTTGTACTGTCTGTGGTGTTAATTTAAATGCGATACCTCAAACAACTTAGACGAAAGTAAATATCATGTTTAGGTTATAATTGCATGCAGATACATGTTTGGACATTTCTTCGAAACTCACGTTGAATAACAATAATCACATCTTAAGACGGCACTTACCTAGGCTATACATAGATCATTCTTAAAAAAAGTATAACATATCTACCATAAATAGCTCCGGCTGCAGCGTGCTTCAAATCTGGCACAAACGATAATCGTCAAAAACCCGTCGTCCTTCCTCGCCCCTTCGGGGATTTATTTCTTTAAACCTAAGCATGCCAGAACATTGAAATAAACGACATTGTCTTTCGTAAGGAACGCAGCACCGCGTGTAAAAGTTCGAGAAAAAAAAATTACGAATGTACCCCACTACTTGAAATCATATGAAACCGTCCGCCGGTCTTTCGAAGTTCGACGAACGTCGAACTTTTACCCTAAAAGTTCGAAGTTCGTCGAACTTCTGACTTTTCAGAATCCGAAAGTTCGAAACTTTTCGAATTCTCTTGATAAATAAGTTCGAAAGTTCGAAATTCATCGATTTTTTGGTCAGTCAAGTTCGAAAGTTCGACAAGCATCGAACCTTGCAGCGCAATAAGTTCGAAAGTTCGAAAAAGATCGAATTTTTTAGCGTAATAAGTTCGACGGTTCGAAAAGCGTCGAACTTCTTAGCTTAACAAGTTCGAAAATTCGACCTCCGTCGAATTTTACGATATAGACAATTCGAAAAATCGAAATCTTTCGAACCTTTCGAAACGCTTGATTCGATCATCGAAACTTCGATTCGAAAAAAGTTCGCGGCATCCCTAGTCTTCGCAATTGCTAGGCCTTTTCGCTCGAGGAAGCGGGCCTATTGAACACAGACGACGACACAATCATTGGATTGTCATGCCATCGTGCTAAATGTACATTGGACAGGAGTAGGTACCGGCATGGTTTTGTGACGAGTTCGGGTAGGCAAAGTGCAGAAAAGTTGCTACGAGATGCCCAAGTTTATTGGCATTGCCAACAGCACGCGCTGCCATGTTGAAAAAAAGTGTTTGTAAAGCCTTGGCGTACGTCAAAGAAATAAGCCATTGGCTGGCAGACTGATGCTAATCCCTACTTACCGTTACATTCTTAATCTGTTACTGACTCTACCTGCTAGGGTATTTGATTTTTGAGTTTAATGATGTTGCGCTCAGTTTGCATGCTAAAAGGGGGCACTCAAGTGCTTTTTGTAGAAGCTTGTTTTTGATGGCCATGGTGTTTGTTGGGCGTTAGTCAATAAAAATGACCAGTTCTAGATGGCAAGACGTCCAGTAAACTCTCAGCAATAGAAATACACAAGCCTTTTTTTTCTTGTGAGGGGCCAAATTTGGGTTCCCACTACCTACATAAAATTTGAGCAACAAAACTAGTCAGTTATGTGGACATTTCGAATGTTACTAATATTGCTCTTTTTAGGCACGTTGTGCATTATATTTTGGCGGAAACGTTGCACCTTTGTGTATAGAAGACGTAATGCAACAATTATTGTTTAAAAACGTCGTCTGACGGCGCCCTCTGGTGTTTGCTCCAAGGCACAGAAAGAATGATGTCACAGTCTTTGATAAACTTTTAATAGAAAAATCGAGCACCCATAAGTGTAACCATAAATAGACAATCTCCGAATCCACTTAGTGATCCTTTAACAATTTAAGCTTTGTCTTCATAACAACCCGTTTCTAGAAGCATGATACTGTATGTGGTCATTGGCCACTGACCAAGCTATTGGCTGGGTGTTCTTCGAGTTATTTTGTGTCGTCACTACCCTTGTGTTACATGTTTGGTGCGGTCACGCTTCACTTAAACTGCCGCCTCCGTTCGAATTATGCTTAAGCGAGGATTCTGCTGACACTACTCTCTCTTTATGATGTAGTTTCGAGTCTCTACTATAGCCACTGAATGTTCCCAGAGTACTGCATTCCAAAGCGTCCTGCCAAGAGGCAAAAATACACGTAGGACATTTGCTCGGGAGCTACGAATGGCTGGTGAATCGCAGCCAGGTAAAAGGCGATGGGCGTGTTGGCTCTTGCTGGAACTTCGTACATCGAGTAGCTCGTAACCTAGTTTGCCACATTTTTGTCTGCGCAAGCTCTTTCAGGCTTGCCCTTCCTAATTTGATTAATTTGAAGTCAGCAATTGCAGCACTGTAATGTGCTACTCTTGGAACTCTCGAAACATTTAATGACTCTAGCTACATCACATGGGGCTCAAAGAATGTCGTTTGGCCATTTCTACGTTTGCTCCGTCTCTCCTGCGAATTTGGCGCCTCATGGTGGCGGCAGGGGACAGACGGGCAGTGCCGCCCGGCGACGTGGGTTCGGCAAGTGAGCGCAGCGTCTCCTCCCCCTCACTAGGTAAAGAAGGGGGTGAAGAGAAAAGCGGACACAACAACGCCCCTGGGTAACGCGCCTCTGGAGGCCGGCAGCGGCTACCCTCCCCTGTGCAACCTGCCCGAGGCCAAGAGCTCTAAGATCTCGACGCGGCGGGAGAGCGGTCGCCCCATCAAGAAGCCCTCCAAGGACCTGCCCGACACCCAGCAGCACAGCTCCAAGCCAAAGAAGGGCAAGCTGACCGAGCAGATGAAGTACTGCAACTCTATCCTCAAGGAGCTCTTTGCCAAGAAGCATGCCGTGAGTCTCTCTCTTATGCTCTCTTTTTCTCTCTCTGCGGGCCTTCCAGCTGCCGTTGTCTTGCTGCACCGCGCTTTTCTCCGTCCTGCTCGTCTGCTGTGTGGGTTGCCTGCTTGGGGTGGGTTTTGCCAGCTCCGAGGAGGGTATAGCTATTGGGATAAGTCTACGTTTCTGGGGTTTTGGTTGTTCGGTTGCGAGAGATCGCAGAGGCGTAGTGCGGCGGCTGCTTTGGGTCTGTGTATCTGGCTGTGGGCTCGTGGAGTGCTGGCCTCCTGTTTTGCTTCCATCCCTGCCCGGTTCATGGTGCACTTTCGTGACAGTCGCAATTTCTGGAGGGATTCGTTTCGGGTATAGCAGGGTTTGGGGGCATTGCCGGTGGCTGCAAACGAAGCAGGAAAGCATTTGCAGACTTGAGGGCCTTGCCTGCTCTGTCCGATTTTTTGGGCACTGGTTATGTTCCTCTTCTGTCAAGTGTCCCGCTTAGCTAGCACTGTGCTGTCCCTCCCTCTCATTCCTCCCATATGCAGGGTGTTTCACGAGATGTGGACCAATTTGATATTGTGAAAACTATGTGTCGCAAAAAAAAAATGCTTGTGTCGTTTTGGTTCTGGGCCAAGGGCCTATTTTGGAAAATTATTAAAGTCTGGGATAATTAGATTCTTAATTTTTGCGTAATTACCTTTTTTAATGTGCTTAACAGCATGATTTCAGTTAGAAAATTGCTTAGTATCATCGAAAAACACTAAATCAGCAAATCCCAGAACGATAGAAGGCACGTGAAGCATTTTACGGCTTTTTGAAAAACCTCACAAATTCAACTGCTTTTCAAGTTCCGGTTTGCATCCAGAGCGCATCTCAGGCCCCGACGGCAACGCGCCCCGTGGAGAAGTAGCGTAACCAGCCTCTGCTGAGGACAGTGCAGCAGAGGTTGTTTGCACTATTTCTCCACGGGGCGCGGTGCTGTCGGGGCCGAGAAGCGCTCCGATTGCGAACCGAACCTTAAAAACCCGTGGAATTTGTGCGGTTTTTCAGAAAGCCGTAAAATCCTAGTGTGCCTTTTATCGTTCTACAATTTGTTGATTTAGTGTTTTTTCGATGATGCTGAGCAATTTTCTAATTGAAACCATGTCCTCAAACACAATATTAAAAAAGTTAATTATGCAAAAATAATTGACAGTCTAATTGTGCTGGACTTTAACAATGTTCCTAAATAGGCCCTGGCCAAGGGCGAAAACGACACAAGCCTTTTTTTGTTGCGATGAGTAGTTTTCGCTATATTGAATTTGTCCACTTCTCGTGAAACACCCCGTATATTCCCTGGGTGGAAGGTGCATTTTGTGGATCTTGAATCATGTTTCTAAACCTCCGAGTGCATTTGTATATTTTTTGGCGTTTCTGTGTTTGCGGGACTTTGTTGTGCGTCATGTTGTAATTTGGGGTCGCGTCATTTCTGTGAAGCAAGGGGGATCAGGGACTAAATGGCAGAGATGCTTGCGTAGGCTTCGGCATTGGAGGCCCATTGGAAGCTACTTTTGGAGCAGCGCCGGCTCCTCAAGTGCTTTTGCTCAAACTGACTTTTTGTGAAGTGTTTACAAAGCGAGCTATGTCCAAGAGTGCCCCGCAGATTTTGGGCACATGCAGGGGCACATCGTGGTGCGTCATCGGCGGCCTTCAGTGCGCAGGCCCGGGCAGACTCTCCGCCGGCGGGACCTCCAGTTTTCGTGTTCTCGGCTATTCGCGATTGGCGTCCCGTCTCTCGCGTTGCCTCTTGTCGTCATAACTCGAATTGGGAGCTTGGCCCGTCGCCGGCCGAGAAAATTACATTAACAGTTTTTGCGCTTTGCCCCGGCACGACGGGATGCAGCTACAGACAGCATCTGGGGTGTCTAGGACGGAACGGGGGCACGAAGGGTGACCCCCACACTCCCGAGCTGTTTCCCCCCCCCCCCCCCCCCCACAAGAAGCTCGGTAACGGGACGAGCAGGCGGTTTGTTTTGCCGACGGGTGCGGGGTGGTTTACGGGTGGTGGTGCAGTCAGCAGTTGTGTTGTGGTCTGCCGTGTACTAACGGAGGTCTGCACGGGCCGGTGTTCAATTGAAGGCCCCGCCCGGGCCCAGCTCCAATGCCAGACGTCTCAGCCCCCGGCGGGCACGGCCCAGGCTTGTGAGTTGCTTTCGATTGCCATCTTTACGAGAGGGGGGAGTTTGGTTGATTTGTCCTCCTCTGGAGCGGGGCTAATAACCAACCTGGTGGGGGGCTTCTCTTTGGGGTTGGAAGGGGGGTGAACGGGGTGTGGTTGGGGGTGGGAACGGGAGCCAACCCGACCCTGGCCCGTGCAGACCTCAGGCGTGGTTTGTAGAGTGGTGGGCGGAGCGAGCGGGCAGCTAACCTCGCTGGCGGGAAGTTTTCAGGGGAGGATCCTCTCGCTCCCTCTCCTTCCTGGCTGTCTGTTGTCGGCATAAGCCTCAAACTCCCGGCGCCTCTGGGCGAGCGGCACAGCCCAAAGGGCTGGTCGGAGCCTCTCTCTCTGGACTCGGGTGGAACGTGGCCTCACTTTTAATCCCTTCCTTGACTGCGACGTGCCCAGTTCGCCTCGTGCTCCGTTTGGCAGTTCAGGTCGCTTGCACTGCCCGCTTGCCCTGATCTCGCGCTCAAACTTTCAAGAACTTGAGGAGGAAGTGCTTCTTGTGTGAGCCAAGGTTGTCCATGGCTGTGAGGGAGTCTGAGCTTTCTCCGTTTTAAATTTAATTTTTTTTTTTTTTTTGTGCACGAAGTTGTTTTGATTAGCTGGTGTCTTTAGTTGAGGCAGCTGAGTGAGCGATGCGGAGGTGTTGCTGCCTGCTGGCCGACACCCTTTGGGTCGACGCGCCAGACAGCCACGAAAAGAGGGGGCGGGGGCATGCTAGTAACAGGGCCTGTGGCATGTTTTAAGTGGGCGGTGTGAATGGAGGACTAGAAGCAGCGAGCCTGCCAATAGGGGAAAGGAGAAAGAGATGGGGGAGAGGGTGTATCCACCAGTGACACCTGGTGTCCTTATGTTTGGGGCGGTATGTCTGCACTCGGTGGTGCCAGTGGAAGGTGTTGCGAGCATGTTTTGGGGGCTAAGTGTTGCCGCATGTGGCATTGTGTGTTGTTTCTGCATTTTTGAACCGGGCTGCGGTGACTTGCGCTGGCCGTCAAAATTTAATCTCTGCGGGGATTTTTGGGCCTCATTGCGGGGGTGGTGAAAGGGGCCCAGAAAGCGTACGAAAAATTTCTTAATTGGGACAGTGGGAAACGCTACCGATTGCTTTGTGTTTGCTTTTGTGTGCAAGAGTGTCTGTGTGGAGTGGCGTTCGTAAAATTTTTTTAGACTTGGGGTTGGAAGTGACCTTTTAAAATGCTCGGACAAATGTTGCGAGAGACATTTGTCTTGAGAACCTCGAGGATGCGAGTAACCATGGGTCGTTTGCCTGTTCCTCGACGAGGCTATAATTAATCTGTGTGATGTGGTGGTACCCCAGAAAACATAGTGTAGGCTTGCTCTCTGTCTTATTCACATTAATTGCCGTGTTGAGTTGTGAACTCAGAAGGCAGCCCGAGATGAATAGGCTAACGGAAGGGCCTGGTCTGTTCTTTCCCATCTGCCTGCATTGTCTAGGGTTACGCGTGGCCATTCTACAAACCTGTAGACGCAGATCTGCTGGGGCTGCACGACTATCACGAGATCATTAAACATCCCATGGACCTGGGCACAGTCAAGGTGAGAGGAAGCAGCTGCTTCGCACGCTTTTTTTTTTTTCTCTCGATCAACTTCTCACGGAGGATACTCTAGGATGACTCTCGCCACAAGTGGAAGCCTCGGAGTGTCTGAAACCGTTGCCGGCTCCTTGCAATTGACTTTATTTCGGCATAGCGGCCGAAGATGGGGTCATTGCTGGGGCTGCAACATTTGCCAATGCATGCGCTTGTTGTTTCTGCTTGTGGTGGGTTGTGCACCCAGTTTGTTTTTGCAAAAGACTTCTAACGCATTGAAGTTACGCTACATCTCAGTTTTACATTTGCTGACGGCAGGGAAAAGCTTTGGAGTTGGCTTTATGAAGCGCGTGAGATGAGATGACAGCATTGTTAGATTGTCGGTGTTCTCAGGCTCTTGCCTCGCACGTGCGCTTGGCTTTAGTTAGAATGTTTCGTTGGTAGGTTACGCTTTCAGTTGAACACTGTAATCGCTGCCCTGCGTCTTGAGAGCTAGTCAGCTTGGAATGATATCCACAATTTTCCTCTCCGTCAACAGCAAAAGATGGACAATCGGGAATACAAGAGTCCGGAGGAGTTTGCCGGGGACGTACGGTTAATATTCACCAACTGCTACAAGTACAACCCTCCCGACCACGAAGTGGTTGCCATGGCCCGCAAACTACAGGTGCGTGGGCGTCGTCGTCTTTGCATGCAGTTGTATAAAAATTTTTCTTACCAGGTTAACAATGTATGCGAGAGTTGCCTAGCATTCCTGTCATGCGGAGCCTTTGTACATAGTTCAAAGTGAATTACCTCCTCTAGAACCTGCATAGCCAGCCCGACGGCCATGATGAAAACCATGCGCGTCATCTGAAGTCTTCCCGCTTGCTCGACCGTACGACTCCTCCCCCTTTGGTTCTCAAGGGGGCCGAGGAGCCTGCAGACGAGTTTTGGGAAGACCGAGATGCTTTGGTTCCTCTGAGCTCTCAAAATTAATTGTCGTCGAGGGAGACCTCGTACAGGCCCCCCCTGTAAGATGTGCGAGCCGGCGCAGGAGCACATGAACGGAGATTAACGCGCGTCTCCCCTCACTGTCCTCAGGATGTGTTTGAGATGCGGTATGCGAAGATGCCCGACGAGCCTCCCCAGAGTGACCCGGCGCCGGTCTCTCAGACCGACAAGACGGAAGACTCCGACTCCAGTTCAAGCTCCAACTCTTCGACGAGCGGTAGCTCCTCTTCCAGCGACACCGAGGACAGCGACGAGGAACGGGAACGGAAGCTCCAGCAACTGCAGGAGCAGGTGAGGTCCCACGTTTCTTTGGTTTGGTAGCGGTTGCTGTATATTGTCTGTCTGAGTATTTACTTTGCCAGGCCAGGCACAGGCTTTATGCCCCTCACTCGTCGTACTTGTGCTTTGGCAGCCTCCTTTTGGGACACTCGATGCTGATGTCAGCTTGGCTGGAGTGGCCGATTCCGTTGCGGTGGTCACGGGGTGCCTGAATAAAGCTTCTTGTTTAGTTGCAGTTTGTCTAATGGGATTGGTGGTGTGGGCTAGCGAACAGACTGTCGGCTGTGAATGACGTGTCACGATATCGGTTCTTCGTGACGTCGTGTCCGTGCTGGGAGCTTGTACTACTAGCTTGATTTCATGACTCTTAGGGTTCGTTTTTTGGAGGCATCTCTGAAGTTTGAAGTGTGGTTTTTTAAACTTTATTCTAGATGACACGTTCATATTTAGGTCTTGGAGGCAACAACTGTTGAAATTTTCAAGCTGATTGAAATCCTTTGTAGAAGTGTACACCCTGAAACACCATGAAATCTTAGCAACACTTCATCGTCGGCGTCCTAGTCTCGCAACTGGGCTTTTCTTTGTTTGCAGATTTGATAGCGTTTAATTTCGGCCTTGCTTTGTACTCTGCGAGCAGTAACACCTTGCATTACTGCTTTGCTGGGTAAGAAAAGGGAGGCATGCAATTGACTAGCTGTAGTAATGAGGAAAGTGGGCTGTAGACCAGTGAGAAAAGAAGAGGCCAATGATGAAAAGCATTGCGTGTCATCTGACCCCGATGGCTCGCGGGTGGCGGGAACGTTCGGATCCCTTCGGACAGCCCCAGCTTGCGAGCGGCATCGGCCGTGATCACAGCTTGATTGCTTTTCTGAGCTGCCAGTTTGTTTCTCCAACTTCCTGAAACTATTATGCTGTTGCCTGTTATGAAGGGATATCAGATTTGGGAGTCTGCAGCGGGCTCTTCACATTAGGCGCAACGAGACAGGTTCGCTGGAAAGTAGGGGTGTGCGAATACTCAAATATACGAATTCGAATCGAGTAGAAAGTTCCCGAATAATTCGATTCGCGAATCGAATTCCTAGTATTCGGTCGCTCGAATATTTGACCAAAGACGTGCGGTCGGCACGGAGCTGACAAGAGCGTTTTTTTTTTCTCGGTGTTACCGCCGTGATGTTCGACAGATGATGCGAGAAACACCTCTTGGTCCTACCATTCCACAATAAATCAAACGCACAGGTTAGAAAAAAGAAAAGTAACGAACGCCACAAACTTTATAGCCCGCAGATTTACTCATGATCGTGTTGCAATCTAACCTTGAATCAGAACCGAAACATCCAGTTTGCGCCGCTTCCAGGGAGGAATTGTTGGGAAGCCGGAATTCCATGCCATGCCTAATTCTTTTCACGAGTAAAGCTTCTCGTTTCAAATTGAAGCGCCAATGTAAAACACTGGCCACACTCACAGAAATCAGCAACTGCAAGATCACAAAAACAAAAACCACGTTAACCACGCCGATGAAGCTGGCCGAGTTAGCCAAGTTGTCGTCGTCCTTCCTTTGGAACCGCAAGCCTCAAATTCTGACTCTGAACGAAAAAATAGTGTGCCTAGATTTAAGAGGGTTTCCAACCGTTCAATAGCTGCGTTTGAATTACGAACTGCGAGAAGGTGACGAAAAGGCAAAAGCTCCCATCGGGCATTCGTCGTGTCTCTTCCGTTTGTTCGCCTTCTTTTCATACGACTACACAACACATGCGCACTTACGACCAATCTATGCAGGAGCCGTTTCCGTAATTTTAGTTTCGCTTGCTCCCTCTTTTAAATCTAGGCTCTCTAAAACAGGATAGATAAACGGAGGAATGGATGCATAGCGCCAGTTGGATGGTGACTTGCGCCACCTAACCACATGTTTTCTTTTTTCTTACAGATTATATTGTTTAAGCCTGTTTACTCAGATTTAACAGCTATCTGTTTATTTGTATAAATTAAAATCCCGGGTGCCCTTTTTCTTTCTTAAAATTGAGATCAAATATCGCAAAATGCTCCTTTTCTGAGATATATTACTATAAAAAAAAAAAAAAGGACATGTCACAGTGTTAGGTCGTGCTTTTAACGAGAAAAAAAAAGCACGCGTGGCTGTTCCTGGTTTTTTGTAACGCTTAGGGTAGATAGATTATGTTTGTGCTATAAAATTGGATCTTCAGTGCCCAACGTCCATCACCAGCAGCTTTTCTTTTCTTTTTTTCTTAATTAGAAGTTCTATACATTCAAGCTTTTGTTCCGTACGAGATGCATATTCTGCATCAAGCGCATACTCTGCACATACAGTCGTCTCATTCACAGCACACTTTGAAAAATTCCTACAAATAAAATCACTATTCAATATTCAATTCAATATTCGGCTTTTTTTCTTAATTCGATTCAATAACCATCATTCGGTATTTGCACACCCCTACTGGAAAGCTCTCGAGGCTAGTATTTGCGACGGATTGGGTTCTCTGTACCTGAGGCCCCGTGCGGCCTGCATGTGTGTGTGTTACAGCTGCGCAAGGTGACGGAGCAGATCAGCCTGCTGGCGGCCAAGAGCCGCAAGAAGGACAAGAAGAAGAAGCACAAGAAGGCCAAGCGGGGCGACAAGGAAGAAGGGGCCAAAGAGGTGAAGCTGGAAGTGGAGCCATCGGGCTCGGCGGGGGGCGCCTCCAACCCCCCGGACCTGGCCGGGCTGGCGGGGGCCGTGCCCGCCGCATTTGCCTCGGCACCCGCGGTGCCCGCGGCGTCGGCACCCGCCACCGCCACCCCGAAGGCACCCAAGTCGTCTTCCAAGGGTGCCAAGGGCGCCGCATCCGGGGGTGCCAAGGGGGCCTCGGGAGCCGGGGGCGGCGCGGCGGCCGCGCCCGGCGGAGCGGCTGGGGCGGGCACGGGTGGCGGCAAGTCCGGGCAGCAGAAGCGGCAGCGCTCCAACAGCAAGTCGTCCAAGAAGAGCAAGAGCCTGCCGGCGTTTGACAGCGAGGATGAGGACAACGCCAAGCCCATGTCGTACGACGAGAAGCGCCAGCTCAGCCTCGACATCAACAAGCTGCCCGGTGAGCTGGTGCTGACGGGTTGTTTGTACGGGGGCGCTGCACAGCTGGTGCGAGCGAGAGAGAGGCACGTTTTTCCCGTCTGCCTCTCGGAACTACGCTTGTTTTCACCTTGAGAGAAAAGGAAGTTTAGCGCATGGATCGTGTACGCCAAGTGAAATAGTTCTTCCAAGGTTTGGTTGTTAAAAGAAGATGATACGCTTTTGGCGTTTGAAGCGCGTACGTCTTGACAAGATAACATATGCCTAATTTAAAATGCACCTACTATATCTTCATTCTCTACATAAAGAGGGAAATCAGACTTTTTCTACTACGGTTCTGTAAGTGAAAACGAGCGTAGGAGGGCCGTTAAACGACATATGCAAAGGAAAAGGGCAATTTTTTAAAACGGCATAAATGGAAAAGGAATATCATAATTACAATTTATGACGAAAAAGAAAAAAACATTTTCCGAGTTTGTACAGCACGAAACGAATTTGTAGTTGGCACCTGTGGGAGCCTGCAAAAAAGTGGCTGCTATAGTCGCTTGGTCCTTGCGCTCTTTCCAGAGCTTCCTACGGGCTTTAAAAGTGACTTATTAGTCTTTGTTTTAAGTGCAACAAGCAAACAAAGGTTAACCTTTAGAGCCCATAGGAAGCTCCTGAAAGTGTGAAAGCACCATGTATGGCGGCGGCGAGCCACGCTCAGCGTTTGGTGGCGGGGGTACTTCAGTTGGCAGCTCACAGGTCTACCATGTGACTAGTGGCGGCTCTTGCGGGCGCCACCTCCAAATTCGTTTCACGCCGTAAAGATGGCTCTAACAATATTTTTTTATTTTTTTATTGTGAATTCATTTTGTGTTATCCTTTTCCCATCCAGACTGTTAATAACAAATTTTTTTTTTCTCCTTTGCATTTGTTTTTAAAGACTGCTGGTGTGGGTAAAAGTGCACACTCAAAACACCAACCATGTGTCGAAATTTGGCAGTCATCGTTACCCTGTCCGATTACAGTGTGAAAAGGGCCAGCGTTGTATTCACGCCAACTGCGTTGTGCAGTGTATGTTTGTAATGTCCTTTTTTTTTAACAATTTATAGCTGCATAACGTGTTTTAGCTTTCTGCCCTAGCGAAGGTTGAGTTGTTTTACCCTCTTCAACTCGTGCTTCTCATGTCCTTAGTTCTTGGTGGGCCGATTCGAAGGAAGATTTGACCTGGCGTGGTGCTTGTCGCAGGTTGTTTGGGGATGCCTTGCCCGTGGCTGTGATGAAAACCATGCGCGTCATCTGATTGCCTCCCATAACCTGGCCTGTTGCGAATCGTGTCTCCGGTCTTCGGGGGCACGGGGAGCACAGGATTTTGGTTCGGTGGCGCTGGATGCTAGCTTTTTTCTGAGCTTTGTGGCAAGTCGAGAAGTCCAGGGATGGGTCAGTTTGTTGGGTTGGATACTTTAAAGGGCACTGCGGTGGGAAGTTGGTGTGAACGGCTATAGTTTAGTGCACGCAGAAGTTGTTAATTTATGACTGCCGTTCCACGGCAGTCAAGTTCGCCCTACCAGCTTCTTGTACTCCAGTGTTTTGTTTTGTTTTTTTACAGATAAATACTGTGATTAGGGATATGTGAGATGTAAGGACTGTTCAGAATTGTCTTCATCTTTTGTGGCTCTTTTCTGGTAAGGGCCCAAGGTCGCAGCAGCGTGCCAATAACAGCGTTTACAAATTTGTAATCAATGTAGCAGCATACATCGGTTATTTGAGTCCATTGAGCATTGGAATTGTGCATTGCAACTTGGGATACAATATGGTTCAGTTAAGAAGAAAAAGGGGAACACTGATCTCTGAAATTGATCAGTGTTCCCCTAATCAATTTTCATTTGATCAAATTGATCAACTGATCAATTTTGAATGCGTAGCAAGCAAGCGCATTAGAGTGTAGGAGAGGCTTCGGTACTCGACCGATAATTACTATTCCGTGGAAGTTGAGGTTCTGGAAATGTGTCCGGGTCAAAAGAACATCTTTGTAAGCATGAAGATGTTTAGTTTTAGTGTCTTGTTATTGATATGGTGCATGCCACTTTTGTGAACAAAAGGCTCCTTTTATATCATCTTTGTGAGAAAAGGAATCATTACACTTGTAGCAGCGAGTCAGTCTTTGGCGCTTGCGTTTGCCGGCGGTTGCCCCTGACCTTCATTCTCTTGTGCACTGCTGCAGGCGACAAGCTCGGCCGGGTGGTGCACATCATCCAGTCCAGGGAACCCTCTCTGCGGGACTCGAACCCGGATGAGATTGAGATAGACTTTGAGACCCTGAAGCCGTCGACTCTGCGGGAGCTCGAGTCGTACGTGGCCTCGTGTCTGCGCAAGAAGCCCCGCAAGCCTTACTGTGAGTGTTCTCTTGCTTGACGTGCCAACTGGTCTTCGTTTTTTCTCGTTGCGGGGGTCGTTCTCGAGAGGCGAGAAAGAACCAGCACTTTGTTGTCAGGTACGGCCTGGACAAGAGTCTTTTGAAGGGAACCCTGGAAAATTTTTGCTTTCGGGGTAGCTGGTGAAAATTGGCCCTCATATGTGTTTTAAACTAAAATTTGAGATGCAATGGAGGTGTTCTCACCAACTTTAGGTGGGAGTTGTCAGTTGTTAGCTGTTGTTTCAAGCAATGGGATGAAGCAAACAGTATTTGAATGTCTGCTGAGATTAGTGGTGGTACCCAAAAATTGCCATTTCCATCTCGCCTAGGATTATCCGGACTGGAGCTTTTGACTGCAAATTTGTGGCACACATCATGACTCTTACCAAACATTCGAAACATTTGCCAACACGCCCACACCATAATCCGTTTCACAATAACTTGGCGAAATGTGGAGGCTGCGGCCCCCGCGACCCAACAAGGGTGCTGGAGCAAGGCACGTGGTAACCCCTTATAGTCGAGGCCACCAGGGCCTCGTTACTGCCACAGCAACAGCCCTCCTCAACCAAAAGTAGTTCTAGGATATTTCTTTTGACGCCAATTGAACTCTGGCAATTCCATCTATAATGAGAAGATCCGAAGAATAAAGAATAAACGATCACAAATTTATGAGTTTCGGTTATACTATTTAAACCAAACAAGCCACATTCGTATCCGCTCAATTTTTTCCGCCTTGTAGTGCCGTGGCCGCTGGCGATCGCCACCAATCGCAGCCGTGTTATCGGCCGTTTCCACTCTAAACATTGCACTGTGCCCTGGCATTAGCACCGGTCAGATTCACGGCTAAATTGAGCGTATGGTTATCTCATGAACTGTTCCTGAAGTGCTCATTACTCTAGCGAACGGATATGTTGCTGCGGTGGACGTTCATCCGAAGTTGGTTGGCTTTTGAGCAGACGACACTTGGCTAGCAGACGACAGCCGGTTCACCCGGGCCTCGCGTCTCGCATTTGGCGCGGTTACACAAATGCTCCCGTGATGTCAGGTTACGTGCCTCGCTCCGACGCTCTTATTGGGTTGCGGGGCCCTAGCCTCCGCAGTTGGCCAACTTATCGTGAACTGGAGTGTAATCTTCCACGTTAATGAGATATTGCTTCACCGGGAAAATGGCGAAAAGTGCGTTGACATTCTTGAATCTACTTTACACTCCTTGATGGTCGGTTGATGTACAGCCCCTTCTGTTGTCTCCTCGTGTACAGCCTCCAAAAACAAGCTTGCGGGCAAGTCCAAGGAGGAGCAGGTACGCGAGAAGAAGCAGGAGCTTGAGAAGAGGCTCCAGGACGTCAGTGGCCAACTGGGCACTGCGCCCAAGAAGCCCCTCAAGAAAGGTGAGCCCACCCCCAACCACCACCACCGGCTTCGTGCTGGGGTCGCTGACGGGATGAGGGTGGTGCGGGGGATCTTCCAGTCGTCCCGCTGGAAGTCCCTCGATAAAATTCACGCTGGGCACTTCTTACGGGTGCCGAAACTGTTGCTGCACGAGCACGCAGGACCTGTGTCACGAGTGAATGCTTCGCTGCCACTCGCTTCCAAGGTCCGCTAATTACGATGCTGCGCCGTCGTTTGCTTCCAAGGCCCGCTCGAGGCACAGGCCCATTGTTTTGGCACATTCGACGCAAATTTGCGAGACAAACACATTGTCTCGCAAGACAAGCGCAGACTTTCTACCTTGGATCGAATTTTCGCAAGCTTGGAGCGTGCGCGGGTAGTCGTAGCACGGCAAAAGCCAGCGAGCACATGCCGGAGACTGAGTGCCCGAAAAGGAAGGTCCGCCGTTCTCAACCTTTCGGTGACCGTGGTATTGCTCGTGTCTCAAGACAAACCCGTAATCCGAGTGTGGCGTAGTTTGTCATATAAGTTCGCTCTGCATTGCAATGACATCAAGGGCAGAAAAAACTGTGGGTCTGTATCGGGGTCTTCGTGCAAGCTTCCCGAGCAGACTGCAACGTGGCCCTTGGGATTGGCAAAAACGAATGCCCGCAATCTCCCGTTCTTGGTCTCGCCCTATGAGGAACTGCGGTTGGAGGTGCAAGCTGTAAAATCCACTCGCAAGCCAGATTGGAACCACATGGTGTATTGCCCGGACGCTTGCATCAATGCCCGTGTTGCCCTGCACCAGTACGCTCGTCGGAGCAATATGACCGTGCTGTTTCCAACTGGCCCGTGATTGGACCTGGCAGCCTGCAGCTCCGGCTGCCGCTCATTGTGGGTGTCACAGGCCGTGAGCCGGTGGTGCCATCTTGGACTCCGTTCTGCAGCTTGCTTGCATGCACCGTTCTTTCACATGGCACAGTGACGAGCACGAGCCACGGGTTTCCCGTTCGTGTTGGCAGATAGCAATTGTGTCGCTACGAGATGCGCCATTGTGGTTTTTCTAGTGACGCGGCGTGTTTTCGGTCTGCTCATTCTCTTTTGGCCCCCGGGGGCCGTGCGGGCATGTTTGCAGACGCGGAGAACTCTCACGTGGACGTGGTGGGAGGTCCCAGCCGGCTGAGCGCCAGCAGCTCGAGCTCCTCGGACAGCGACAGCTCGAGCTCCTCCTCGACGAGCAGCTCCTCGGACAGCTCAGACTCCGAGTCAGGTTAGGCTCAGCAGCAGCCGCAGCAGCAGCCACCGCCGCAGCCGCAGACGCGTGCCACCGCTGCCCCCCCACGCCCGCTCTGAAGGGCCCAGGGGGGGACAGGGGGGCCGTGCCCTGAGCCCAGGCACTCACTCGGAGGGAGGGAGGAGAAGAGGGCCTTCCTCCTCCTCTTTCAAACCCCTCCCCTCCTACTTTTTCCCGGTCCCCGTCTCGTTGCCCCTTTGGTATCTACCACGGGGCTCGGTAGTCTTCTCAGTATGGTGCTCTCTGTTCGTTGGACGCAATAGACGATGGGGGGGAGGGGGGGAGGAGGAGGAGAGGAAGGGTACAAGCGCCCGTAATGTACAGTACCGGCGGCCGCCGCTTTCGGTCGGCCGCCTTCTTTCCGTCTTTCCCTCACCTTTCCTGGCCCGCTTTGTCTGTCCTTCTTTTGACTGCTGCTCGTTTTACTTTGTTCTACGGAGTTGCACTCCAGACTGGCTTCTTATTTAAAGCGACTTCCCGTATTTTTTTTTATCCCCCATTTCCCTTCGCGACGCTCTTTTCCGCGAGTACCCTGGGGTCTTCCCCGCATCTCGAATCCCCCTGTCAAGGATCACAGACACGTGCCAGCTGAGTGTGCAGCACTGCCGTATTTCGTCCCCTCTTTCCTTTCTTCCCGTCCCGTTCCTTCTCCCGCTTTGTCCTTCTGCGTGTGTCCGCAACGGCCCGAGCACGAAGCACTCGGCGTCGCCCCGGCGGGTGTCCAGTTGTACAGATTGCGTCGGGGTGGGCTCTGTTTTCTTACGGGGTTCTCCGCGGTGCGAGCGGCAGCGTGGACGTTTCCTGGACACCTTGCCACGTCCGGGGTTGCGGCCTACTTCTTTTTTTTACCCCTTCAAAACTTGCGTAGTGTGCCAGAGACGCCCGCGTTTTCCTCGCGAAGGCGTTTCTATCTCTGTCTTTTTGTAGATGAGGGGGCTCCTTTGGGATGGGAGGGAATGGGGAGCCCATTAATGTGGTGAGTTCCTTTCATCTGTAAATAAAACTTCATTACCATGGTCCCGATTTTTTTTTTTTATATATATATACATATATTATATATAAATATACATATTGCGAGCACATGTTGTCTCACACGCGTGACCGTAAGGGGGACGTGCAGTCTTTGCGAGAGTGGAAGCGGCGTACACGAGCGAAGGAGAGGTTCCCCGCTTGTTCCTGGTTTTGTTTTCCTTTTCTCAGCGGGAGGAGAGACACGGCAACTGTACGATGCACGGTTGTTGCATTTCTAGCCCACGAGTGCAGTGTTCTGTGAGGCCAGCCTTTGTAGAGGAGAAAAGAGAACTCCGGCGTTGCTCGGTTTTTTTCTCGCTGTGTGCCTGGACAGTGCGATGGATGGATGGAGGATGCGTGCGTGTGTGAGCGTGCTTGGATGCTGGACGTGTGTGCGTAAGAGACTGGTGGGGGATTGTGCACGTGCTGCCGGTTCATTTCTTGAGCGCCGAGCCAGTCGGTCCGCCGTCTTGCGCGGCGACTCATTGGGCGGCCTGCCGCAGAAAACGACTACCTTCGTCCCTTTTTCTCTTTATTTTTTTTTTCTCTTCCTTGCGGAGTGGGGAGGAGCGACATTTCAGTGGGCGTAGACTCTAATGTAAAGTCCCGGCGCGCGGCCTTTGCACTGGCAGAGATGTCGGGACGGCGTCGGCCATGAAACACTCTCTTGCTTCTCGTTAATGGGAGTACACGGGCTCACTTCTCGTCGTTGTATCACGGGGCAGGGGTCGAAGAGGGACTCATACTTGCAGACTGGGGCAGTTTTGGGCGAGTAGAAGTGCAGCACAGCCCTTTTGTGGGATGCGGGAAGGGGTGCTCCCCCCCCCCCTGTCACCACTCCCACACCCTTGTCTGCTGCATTGACACGAAGCTGGCCTCCTTAGGACACGTGCACTCTGTGGCTAGGGGTGTTTGTGTCGTCCGTTCCCTCGGGTGCGCGGGGGAAGGGGAGGGGTCTGTGCCCCCTCCTCCTTCCCCCGCGCAGGCTCCTCCCCACCCGCAAAACAACTGTGCTGCTCTGGGAAAGAGGGGGAGGGGGGCGCGGGCGCCCTTTTGACGACTCACACACAGAATCTGGTCTGGGGGAGGGGCATCTGCCTCTGCCGGACGTCCCGTCACTGTCGCGACGGTTCTTGCTCGGGTGGAGGGTGCCGTCTCCGCACGGAAGGCGCACGTGCGCAAGAGGTGGCCGGTGGTTTGAGTGTTCTCGTGTCTGACATCAGTTGCAGTTTTTTAGGGTGGGATGGGGAAGAGACTGTGTGCAGTGCTGCGGGTTAACATTGCTGTGGTCCTGCAAGATCTGCTAGGAAGCTCTGGGAAGGTGTACACGTTACCGTGTGCCGGGGGAGAGCCTGCGTCGAGTCGAGACACCGAGAGTCGCACAACCCCTGTCGCCTTTAACGAGTCACAAAAGCTTCCTTCCCTGCGCTGTTTACTAAGTGGAGAGCTTTGAGAGGGTGGAAAGGGGGGGCTCGTGTCTGGCTACCTTGTCCCCTTTGCTGGCGTTGGCCCTCTTATCTTGTCGAGTTTGAGACTGGTAGCTCTTTTGCCGGTCATCGTAACTTTGGCTTATTTATTCTTAATTTTTTGATGTTCGAAACTGGTTGCAATCGTCGGTGGGGACGATTCTGAGGACCTTGTTGGGGGGGTGAGTCACGAGAAGTGAAGTGGGTGCTGGGAAACGACGAGCGTGAGCCAACGGCCAGAGGAGTGACAGAACAAAAACTGCAACTTGTTGTCACACTTCCCTGCCGCACTGCTAACTCCCCCTCCCTCTCTTTGCCTCTCATCACCACTTACATTGTCAAGTCACCGAAGGTTGACTGCATGCATCTCCGATCGCCTTCCTCATCCTTCATGTTTTGCTTATGTTGCTTATTTTTGGTTGCATCTTGTGGTAGTTTACACCCGTGCACCTTAGCCGCCGTCCCGGCACTGCACCTCATTGGCCAGTTGGTGGAAAACAGGTCCAGGTGTAGCAAAAGGGCGTTGCATCGTATCTCTCTGATGTGGTGTCCAATCACCTTCATTCATCTTTTTTTTTTTTTTTTTTCTTAGTCCTTCATTTTTTGTCATCTCTGTGTCTCATCTGTTCGCAGAATTTAGAGGAAACGAAAGTGTGCGTGTCCCTTTTTCGTTGTTTTTTTTTTCCTTTGGGCCCTGTACAGTTTGCCCGTCGCCATCGTCTCACTCATTGTCCAACTTGAAACTTTGGTCTTTTTTAGATTGTAAATTTTTAGAAAAAAAAAGAAAATGAAAACTTGTGTGCATGCCTGATTGATTTCACGAATTGTGTTCAATAAAAAAAAGAGGAAAGCTGAGAATGCTAGCGAGACGAGATGAAAGAACACTACTGCAGGTCTGACGTCACTGCAGACTTGGAGCCATGAATAAAAAGATGCAAGAGAACCCTTACTCGACCCTGTGTGTGTGTGTCTGTGTGGTCATTGGCTGGCGGCCTCGCTTGCTTGGTCTCTTCGGCCGAGACGCCGACGCGCAATTAGAAAGGCTGGTTCTAGAGAACACTGCACTCCAGGGTTGTGGGCGGGCGTTGTTTAGGAGCCGTCGAGACCTGGGCACGGCAAGCCTTGGTTTTGCCTTTCGAATCTTATTTGATCGACTTTCTTTTCTCTCCCCCCCTTTTTGACTTTTTTCTTAGGCCGACACAATCTCTGTGTTTACACTTGAAATGGACTCAACCACTTGACCAAGCTGTCCTTGTTTCTGAACCTCGACCCTGCTTAAAGGTAGTTTGCGACCAGCGTGGCCATCATTGATGCGCCACAAAGACCTCGGGAAGTTTGTATGTGGCAAGTTCAAGCTGTGCTGTGGAACATGCAAGGAGGAGCTGTATTTGCTTTAGAAGGTCTCTTCGATGGGATTTTGGCGTTCAAAATAGTGTTACCAATAGAATCGTTGTTCCTGTAGTCTTTTGAACGGTTGTGAGGAGCTTGCCTTGCATCGGTGCTTAAATAGACCACCTTGTCACGTTCAGTAAAAGATAACAAGATTTTTTTTTTTTTTTATTGGATGCATTGCAGCATGAGACTTAAAAATTTGAGGAGAAATTCAATATGCTTGAACAGAGTTCTTTCTTCACTCTTGGATTGTCGGAATCGTGTACTTCCGTTTTGAGGTAGCTTGGCGAGGAGAAAAACAAATGGTTTACGACAAACACTTGGGGTGCCCCTCCTCCCCAAGCGCAGACAATTGTCTCTTGCCCTTGTTATCAATTAGCTGTTCTACAAGCTTAAATGTGCAGCATTTAGGGAAATGGGAAAGTAGACGTTTGGGGGGGCTGGAGGTAATGAAACATGTCTGTCGCTGACAGAGAGGATAGCAGGGCCCCTCTTTTGACCGCCCAGCCTTTACATGCACCCCTTGCCCTTTGCTGTGCCTGCTCCGAAAGTGTACAAGGCCTTGGAAGTGTCGCCGTAGTTGGGAAACTCCTTGCCGTTCTCGCTTTGTGGCAGTTTCATTCGAGTCGAGACAGGAAAGCCACCTTGCCCATTGCCGCGTGAATATTGAATCTTGGGTGTGCTAGTAAGCTGATCTTGCATAAGTATATCTGTTGAACAAAGACCCGATTCCGAGGGGGAAACTTGGAAGCAAAAATGAAGCCAAATCACATGTACCTTTGGGATAGAGCTAGGCAGAAGGCATCTTCAGCTTTGTCCAAATGGAAAGCTTTTTCTGCACTAGGAAAGAATTCAGCAGCAGTGTGTATGCAGTCATGTTCTACTTGTGTGAACACACTTGACTCCTTGAAACAATTTTTGTTTGAGGTTAGGCGATCTAAATGTTTGTACAGCCAAGTCTTTACCAAAACTGATTGATCTGGCCAATTGAAAATTCTGTCTAGTGGATCAGAAGCGGGACATGACTGCATATGGACCAAACCCTGGAGTGGTGTAGGTTCAGAACGGTTTATTTATCCAGAAACAATGAGGCTTGAAAGTATGCACAGTTGCAAGCATAGCTTTTGTTGCTGTCTGTGTGTAACTTTAGAGACCCATCATTTGATCTTTAAACTCTGCTAAGTTGGGTCGTTGGGTGTAAAGTTTCACAGCTGGGGGATGTGCATCGTTGCTCGTACCCACGATGAAGTTCGAAGTTATACTTGCAAAGGTGCACTGCTGCTTATCTAACTCATGCCCGTCATTTTGGGACTTCTCCCTAGTTTTTCTTCTGGCAGGGCCCCCTTTTTTTCTATTAGCCTTTTTAAGGCCAAGTCAATCTGGCAGGTTAGGAATGATCAGGCATATTTTAGCTGTGGCAAACCTCTGGTTCTACCTTGCTGCATTAATTAACGGCCCCCGTTATTTTTAGGGGCCTTGATCAAATGTCGAGCTTTATGGAGCTGCACAGGTTTTCAAACTTGCTGGAATTTTGGGATTCCTTGAGGACCCAATTTACGTCCCCAAGCCCCAAGTAAAGTGTTTGAGCTGAGCAAAATTTGAGCATGGCCATGCCATGCATTGATGCATTACTATGATGCAATAGCCGCTGCGCTTTGTCCACTGTCAATATAAAATGGGGTTTATGAACACCTTTGTGTAGAGGTTTCTAGGGATTCCCGTTAGTGCCTATAGAACGTGGCAACACATTTTAAACACTAGGACTCTGGGATGGGTAAATTGGCAGACAACTGAAAGGCAACTTTAGGCATGTTGCGGCGTCGCTTGATAACTGCAAGGAGAGCCGAGATCTGTTTTATGGACTGTTCCGAATGCTGGTTGGTTCACTACGGAACAAAAGAAAAACGGTCCCCGTTTGGTTTCATCTTTTTTAGAGCCCCTTGTCAAGAAGGAAAAGCAGGATCCTAACCAGGTAAGATGACTTTCGAACATGTTCCAGCAAAAGAGGCGTGAATAGCCATTGCGGCAAAAAACGCTTTGCTACTTGCGAAGCATATTTGCCTTCAAAAAGGGTGAATGCCATTTTCTAGGTGCTTAAAAGCTAAATAAATAGTATCATTCCACATGTCTATTTGATGAGGTATGTTGAGAGTTTCCCAACTATTTATTGAGGTATGTTGAGAGTTTTTGACGCGACATACCAAATCCTTAATTTAAAAAACTAATGCATGCAGAAATCTTTCCTCCTTATCCCTGCACTTTATTCAATCTTACCGGTGTTGGACATTTTAGCCTTTTTCTCTCAATTTAGGGTAAATTTATTTGTAAACAGGATCCGTTCCTGGTGTGGAATTAAAGCTAGCAAACGAAGGTTGCACGACGGAAGCTGGTATACTGCATTCACAGCGAAAGAAGTCGCATTAGCTGGCTTTACCGGCTGCATGTTCAAATAAACTGGTTATGACAATATAGTGGCCCTGTCTTTTTATGGTTGGGAATGTTTATCTTTAGTACATCTGATATTATTATAGAGGTGGTTTCGCATAGGCTCATCACCAAAGGGCAGTTATTGCTCTAGGTTTGCACAATATCCTTAATGCATTTGACATTCTTTTCTGTGAAGTTTTCCTGAGGCTTTTGGTCGGCAAGTAATACTTATTAGTACCCTTAATTTGTACAATTTCAATTACAAAAAAAAAAATGCAAATAGGTTGCAATTGTGGAGAAACTTCAGCCGGTCATAGTTAAACAAGATCCAAAGTGTGTGGTAAGATCGTAAAAGCATTTCTACAGTGTTCTATTTTTGGTAGCATTGGTTCTGCTAGAGCTTGGTAGCTATCCTGTTGGTAGTAGTTTGGGATATCTTTGCCAACTGGCAGGCATTTTGCGAGTTGCAAAGAAACCTTGTTTATTGTACATATATCTGAGACAATTTCTTTAAAAATACCCTCAACTACTTCAGCAACTTTTTAAAAAAAATTTTTTTTCATTCGCTTGAGCATTACAGAATGACGAGAAAAAATAATTTTCAGTCGTTTAGACATAGCTATAATTTGTTTCCGGTCTGCCCATATGCGGGTGGCATGGGTGACAGCAAGTTAAAAACTGCTGTCCCGAAAATAAAGAAAAGTAAAAATCTCGATTTTTAAATTTGAAAGTTATATCTGAAAGCGATCAAAAAACATCTATTGTCGGTAAAGGTGTCGAAACTGGATGAAAATGTTAACTTGCCTTCTTTGCTAGTACTTCATCCCCACTGTATTCTCGTGTGAAAATAAAGGTAAGTATGGGTAAAGATGCACTTCACAATGTATCTCCAGGCTGCTGCTATGATTTCATTTTTAGAACCAAGCCATAGCTTCTTTTGCTTTGCTAGTTTTGGAAGGAGGTCTAGCTCAGACTGAGCTTGGAACACGAAGTTTAGGTCCCAGTTTCTAGAGTTGCAGCTTAGTGTCTGGGGAGTATGAATGGTATGGATGGTTCCTCATGAAATTGCAACCATTTTGATGTCTTGCCCATCTATTGGTATATAGTCGCTTATACATAGAAACTAGCCCCTAGAATACATTTAAACGTCTGGAAAGCTTCGTATGCTACACAGTTCCCAGAAAGGGGAAAAGTGGTGGGCACGTTGGTGTGGATGTAGCATAAAGACTGAAGAAAGTGGCAGCAACGACCCCTTCAGTTCTTTATTGTCAATATTTCTGACATTCATCGGTCTATGCATACCTTTTTATTATTAGATCTATAAGGAAACTTATCAAGGGTTGTCGCCTGCAGCAAGTATAAACATCCAGTTGAGGATAGTCCTGGTAAGGAAAGAAAGAAATAGGAGCCTGAGTCTTGGCATGCTTTTAAGCGCACTTTCTCGTATGTGCTTACAATTTGTGCAATAAACACCAGCAGAATGATATTGAGGGGCACAGTGTCTTCGCGGGCTCGCCGCCTATGACGTCGTGAAGCCCTTTATCGTGCATAGAAATCCATACAAGTGCTCATTGTTTGCTTGCAAGCTGGAATTTTCAGATAATTGTGCAAATGATCCTGAAAGAGCTAGCAAATTTTCACACGCTTTGTCTTTTGAGATATTAAATGTATTGCAGCTGCCATCAGTTTTCTCTCTGGTCTAAATATGAACAGCTTGATCAGTATTTTAATTACTCGTCCTCACAGAGAACCATACCAGGGTCGGGTATGCTGTTATTGGGTTATTGATTTCAGACCACTTCATTGTGCAAAAGTAGTCGGCGAATTTGCTTCAAGTGAACGTGAAAAAGTTTAAAACCTGCGACGCAATCGCTGGGTTGGATTGTTCGAAAGCCACGCAGTTGCGTGAATTCCCACCAAAAGCCTCGCCGACAGTAACTGCTACAGTAGTGCTTGCTCAATGATATTGCTATTGGCGAAATCAAATCAACTGGACAAACATTTTTATGCAGTGTGCCTCGTGACAAGGACTAGTAAAGGGATATCAATTAATCCATTCATTGCGTTGTTTGTGATCACATGGTGTCACATTTCATGGGCAAAGGTTGCAAAGCAGTTTAATGTTAACATATAAGGATCTGTGCCCTTGCCTGTACAATGATTGGGACTCGAAAGCTTTATGGATGCTTTCAATTGAAGGGAACCAAGGAATCCGGGATAACGTCGAGGCGTGGCAACATTCCGCTACCGTAACATTCCGTAAGAATGCCCACCTAAAATTAAGAGATAAATGGTGAAAAACAAGGGGTGGGCTATCTTTGGGGATGCAACATCACAACCTTATCAAAAATAATGATAAGCACTGGGGCACCCTCTACAAATTATGTGATGCAGGAATTGATTCCGCAAATTGCAGTCAAGACAAGTTCACTTTTCACCATGCAATAAACACTCAGGAATTCGCTACAAACTCGTGTCACGGGAAAGAATACCGCAGCTTGTGGACTCGGCAAATTCAAGTTTCATGGTGCAATAAACGCATGGGAAACCGCTACAAATTCGCCTATCAGGGGAACCGACAATGTGCGCTCAGACCTCGAACAAAAATGCGGGAATTTGTTACAAACTCGTGTCGTGGTAACGAAGACCGCAGGTTGCGGATACAGCGGAATAGCATTTAGGATGCAATGTGCATGCGGGAACAACTGGCGTGTTAAAAGAATAGATACCATGCGTGCAGGGCACGGACAAAAACGTGGGAACCCGCTATGAACTCTATTGTCAGACATACCGGTACCCCAGATCGCACGGTTGTTTCGGAATTTTCATGTTACGGATATTTCACCAGAAAAATGGGATGGCATCTATCGGGGAAGGGCTTTCTTACGAAATTTTATTGTAGCTTGACTTCTGTCCGACAAAGAAGTCGGAAATAATCTTTTGGGAGTGTAGTTACCGACACAAAAACGGCAGCGCGCCTTTTTCGGATGCCCGGCTTCCAGCATGCCCTCGTTGCATTCCGTCGTGGCTGCGCACGCACACTCCAGGCGCGGGAGATGCCAAAGCATCGTTCCAGAGAGGACCTCCTTGCCGGTTTCATCACGCCCGTGACTATAGCGTGCTGCATTCGCAAATAGGAAAACGGGCGGCACCTCTCCCCATTCTGCTCAACGACGTCCGAGAGACGCAACGCCTAACGACGCCCCGTCCCGTTGTCAGGCCCCGACGCTGGAGCCGCAGAGCCTGCTGGGGCCCTCGCTGCCCAACGCGATGCCGTCGCTGACCCCCGTAGCCCCGCGGGGGTCCCAGCCCCCGGCGGCACCTCCCCCCGTGGCCTCGGTGGCCCCCATGCCCGCCCTGGCGAGCAACGGGGGCGCGGGCTACGCGGTGAACAGCAACCACGCCGGGGTGGCAGGCGGCCCCCACCACTTTGCGGGCATGGTGCCCTTCCCGGGCCTGTCCCCCGGGCTGCCCCTCCTGCCCCAGGCCCCGCCGATGCCGGACCCGGCACTCACGGCAGGTTTCCCAGGACTCTCGCACAGTGAGTTGAACACCCTTCGTTCCTTGTCTGCCTGTGGCCCAGGCCGCTTGGTTGGGGGTAAAGCCTCGCAAGAGGTGGGGACACACACATCGCGTGTTTTCTACCGGTCCAGTTTGCTCTTGTGCCATTCAGCCTACATTACGCCGCGTTTCGAAGTGCATGTGCGACACTGTTTTTCAGAAGTGGATTTGCTTGCACGAATGTTTGTAAGAAAGTCTCAAAGTTGCGTGCATCTGTCCGGGCCACTAATTCGTCATCAATGGTGGAAATTATTGCGCCTTATTAGAACTGTTTCTACAATTGGTTAAATTTTGAATGCAGGTTAGCTGCAAACTGTTTTGTCGTTACCACGACAGCCGGCACAGAAGATCCGGGAGCAACGAGATTAGATGGCGAGTCGGTTTCCACCTGAACGGGTAACCAAGTTTGGTTTAGTGCAGTGTCAAATCGCGCCTTCAACTTTGTCGCGAAAGATAGCACTCTGTCCCATGTGTTGCCCACTAACCAGGGTGCACTGTGTCTCTGGCAGACCCGCTCCAGGGGATGGTGGGTCCCAACGGGAGTGGGACGTCGGGGAACGGGCGCGCCCCCGTGGTGGCAAGTCACAGTTTGCCCCAGCAGCCGTCGCGCCCCTCGGCCATGGCAACGGCAGCCCCGGTCAAGAAGAGCGTGGCCCCCTCCCACCCCAGGTCGAGCTCCGGTGAGTGAGGTCGACGTTTCGAGGGGGATGCGGCTCACAACCGGGGATTGCGGGAGCGTTGGGAAACACGGAGATGTTATGAATTTCGTTGGCCACCCGCCCGAGGCGGGGCTAGCCAAGGGGAAATGGACGAAAGAACAGCGATATGTCGGATCGCTCAAAAGTGGTTACACCGGCGTCGGCTTCCTTACAAGGACTTTTCCAGGGCACGTGGCAGAGTTGGGGATTGTGGGAATCTGTGCTCTAGCCTTTCGTAACCAATAATTGTATCGCCGTGTCCAAAATTTTTACGCAGTTCCAGCTGGCGAACGGAGGTCGGGAACAGAGCTTGGTGTGACATTTCTAGGCTCTCGTGCGAAGGTGGTGGGCAGTTTTGACCGACCGAAAGAGCCACAAAGTGCCCCAAATTTTCCGGAGGGGTGGCGGTTTGTGTGACCACCCTGTCTTCGCTTTCCCCTCTCCCCCAGGAGTGTCGGCCCCCTCGGGCTCTCCCACCCCGGTGCCCTCCCTGGCGTCCCCGCAGGCGGGGGGTCCGAGGCACCCACTGCCGCCCTCGCCCATCCTGCAGCAGGACCCCACGTCCCCCGTGGGGGGGCCTCCTCCTCCGCTGCTGGGGGGTGCGATGGCCCCCCTGGACTCAAAGCCCCCCCGGGGCCCCACAGGGGCCTGCCACCAGCCCCAGGGGTCTCCCCCTAGGATCAAGATGGAGCCGGGCCTCAAGCTCGACGACCTCTTCTCTACGGGGGGCCTGAACAGCGCACCCCTGCCCCAGGCGCCGGGAGGGACCCACCCCGGTGAGCCCGCACGCGCTTGCTGCTCGGTCAGACCCCGTGTTCGGTTTTTTGGTTGGGACGATTCTGCACTCGCCATGCCGTGCGTTTCTTTAGCTGTCTGCAACTGTGGTGGTCACTTAGTTTGGCACCAAGTTCGTCCATTTTCCTCTTTTTGCTTTTATTGTGAGAAAGGAGAACAACAACCAATCAAAGGGCCACATCCTGTGTCATAAGGTTTCGGCGTGTTGTGAAAAGTTGGGAAGGCTCATAATGCACCATTTAGCTTTTCTTAACCCGTCCTCTCTTTCTTTTCTTTTTTTTTTTTTCAACAAATCGCAGCTGAATTGATTTGAGTTAGCTGAAGGTATCTATGCAACTGACACAACCCTTGTGCTAGCTGGCTGCTAGAAGCCACTCTTTCGGAGCTGCACCACCACATCCAAATTTTGGGGAGTTCAACACACAAGTGCTTTTGCGTTACAGTTGTCGTGCGTGAATTACACCCGTGTCCGTTGTTTGTTTCCTATTGGACGCTTGCCGTAACGTTGGCAAGCTCCCTGGCTGAGCATCGTGTGGCGTCTGATGACATTGTCGCTTCGTCTTCTGGCCCAGGTTCTGGACTGCCAGTGTCGGGGTCGACAATGCCCGGGGACTTTGTGGATCGCAAGCCAGCGGCGAAAGCGGGCCCGCCACATTCCACCCCAGCCACCGCCGGCACCCCTACTCCAGCCACCACAGCCGCTTCTAGGAAGGTCGGGTACCCTTCTTTTTTCTCGTGCAGCTTCCAGAGATTTAATTCGTGGCCAGAGGGGACATATAAAGGACTCTGTGTGCTGTGTCGCAGTTTAAGACAGAGTTGCTTTATCATTTTGGTGAGAATGTTTGATCCATGGATGGCGTCAGCATATTTGGCACGATGACCGAGAGGGTGCAGTAAAAAATCCTAATGTTTGCTGGGGTCAGCTTATGTCAAATTCATTTGCTTCATTAGGGCTTGCATGTTGTTGAAGCCCCATTGAGGACAGCACAGCTACACCAGAGGCCTGTCATTCACCTGAGCCCTATATCCTCCTTTGCCATAGTCTTTGGCATCTTTCACTGTAGTGCAACTAAACAAGCTACGCTTCACAGAAACGACACCTGCCCATACTGTGGCTTAAAATTATGGTTGCCAGTTATATTAAGCTTTATCTGAAATCGCAGGAAACGCTTTTCCTCCCTTCATAAATGTTTAAACAGTTTGCGACAGAGCAAGGCAATATTATATGAGCTTTCTAACACCGAATCTTATGCAGATAAAGTTGCACATTTGAATCAAGACGATCGGCAGTTGCGTCTGCTCTGCACAAGTACCAAAATGGCGGCGCCCACAACAATGTCGGGGAACAGAGTGCCGATACTCTAAGCGCAGCTCGTTTAGTGGTTCTAGTTCACTGCGTGGAGCCTTCATGAGCTCTTCCACCATTATCTTTTTTCATATTATCTTGTCATGCCCATTCTATGGTAATCACCACAATGGAAAAAGGGTAATGTCCAAATGGTGCCGCCTCTCCGTGAAACAAGTGTGGCGAAGGTTCACTCGCATTTTTGACGAACGCCATGAGATGGCGCAGCATGCCTGGGGGTAGTAGGAAACCAATGAAAACCACTGGAGCAACTGTCAATATTTACACAACATTTACAATCCTGCGTGACCACGCCTGCACAGTGGCCCTGCCGAGAGATGAGCAAAGCCCGAGCAAGTTTGTGCCGCCTTCGCTGGCCGTGTTCAGACACCTCACTCATCGTGTAATTTGTGCATGCTTAATTTCCATGTTTGTGGGAGGGGTATCTGGAAGCCTCACCGTCAAAACAGGAGTCTTAACGCCCCCTTATGCCCTTACAGCAGCCGTCGCTGTCCACCCCTGTGAGCGAGTCCAAGCTGAAGAACTATGGGTCGTGGTCGAGCCTGGCCCAGTCGACAGCCAGCAGCCCTGGCCAGGCCCTCAAGACCTCCCACGTCAAGGACAGCTTCCAGCAGTTCAAGAAGCAGGCTAAGGAGAAGATGGACAAGGTAAGCGCTCCGTTCCAACAGTTTTCCATGGCCTCCTGTCACTTTGGCCGTGCGCAAGGTGTTGCATGTGTCCCGGAGTATTGACTCTCTTTATGTATGTTTGTAACATTGCGGTTGCTACTAGGATCAATGCAGCCACATGTATGTGTCCCTGCACTCTGGTCATATCTCATGTCGTCTGGTTTAGGATGCCGGGAGTACTGGCTGTTGGCATCCAATAGATATGTAGAAATTCTCCAAGAACTGTCTTAACGACAGTTGAAAGTTGGGGAAAGCCACGTAAAATACTCGTCGTTTGGGCTTGGGGGGCTGTTGAGCGTTTGGTTTGTCGAGCACCGGGTGTCGGGAGGTAGGCATTTTCTATAAAGTCCCTGGATAAAATTCATGCTTGGCGCTTCTAACTGGGATAGAAATCTACCATTGTCCGAACACGCTAGACACATGCTATGAGCAGAGGTCGGCGTCCTAGGTCGCCCTCACTCACCCTCACCCTCACAGCCGCACTTACCTAAGCCACTCACTCACCCCCACTTTCACAGCTACACTCACCTTCAGCCCTTCACTTCCTCTCATCCTCATAGTCACACTCACCTTCAGCCCTTCACTTACCCTCACTGAACCTCACTCCCCTCACGCACTCATGGCCCTCACGCCCCTCACAGACTCACGGCCCTCATGCACTCTTATCCCTCTCGCCCCTCTAGCACTCACTGCCCTCACGCACTCATGGCCCTTACGCCTCTCAAGTACTCATGGCCCTCACGCACCTTACGCACTCATGGCCCTCATGCCCCTCGCACACTCATGGCCCACGCACCCCTTACGCACTCATGGCCCTCACGCCTCTCACGCACTCCTGGCCCTCACGCTTCTCACGCACTCACCGCCCTCACACACTCATGGCCTTCACGCCTTTCACGCACTCGTGGCCCTCACGCACTCATCGCCCTCATGCCCCTCACGCGCTGATGGCCCCACGCCTTTCACGCACTCACGCCCCTCACGCACTCACGGCCCTCACACCCCTCATGCACTCACAGTCCTCACAGCCCTTACGACCCTCACTCACCCTTGCACTTGTGAATTTTCCTGGTTCAGAGACTCACCCTCACCTCACCTGTGAAGATGAGGGTGAGTGAGGGCCCTTATGAGTGAGGTTTGCCGAGGTGCGGCTACCAGCGAGGGACCCGCCGCCACTTGCTTCCACTGACCACTTGTGTCAGTGTTGCCATTTGCTTCCAAGGGCCGCACGAGGCACAGGCGTCGGGGAGCCTTAGTTTTTCAATTTTTTAGCTCATTTTTTATCATTACTCGAAGCCGTAGCGTGAAGAAGCGTCTCTGACATGTGCCCGGCCTTGCAGCAGCGGCAGCTGCTCGAGGCCCAAGAGCAGCGGAGGCACCAGCGGGAGATGCAGGAGAAGGAGCGGCTGCGCCACGAGCACGACAAGCACCGAGACGAGGACGACCTGCCGTTGGTGGCGCCTTCCTCGCACCGCAAGTCCTCGCACCAGCAGGCACCCCCGGGGGCCCAGGCGGCGGTGGCGGCCCCCGTGGAAGCCGCCGTCGCCCAGGAGCACGCCGGCAGCAACGCCACGGCAGGCAGCGGTGCCGGAGCTTCGCCGGCCGTGAGCGAGCGGGAGCGCCAGAGGCTCAGGGAACAGGAGCGCCGGCGCAGGGAGGCGGTGAGTTCCCCTCGACGGGCAGCGGGGAGCGTGTGGTGGTTGCGTCGTGGACTCTGTGGCGGAATTATAGAGGCCCGTTTGCGCACAGACCACAGCACTATTATACAGTCAAACACCTCTATAACCAAGTCTCCGGGACCGTAAAAATTCTTTATTGTACGAGTCACTACATTAAAAACATTCCAACCCCCTCCCCTTTGCGACGAATCTAAAATATAAGGCAGGATACGCATATGGCATGAAACCAGCCTTTATAACAAAGTGCCAAGATATCTACTCTCAAAGCGGCTGCACTGCTTTTGTAGCTGTGGGTGCGGAAGCACTACCGTCGCTACAATAGACCGTAGCAGCACCGCAGCGCTACCGTAGCTACAATGGACCATAGTAGCACGGCGAAATCGGTCACATGACCATAAGGCGCACGCGAAAGCTGCAGTGCACGGTGCAGCAAGGAGCGAGGATGGGGCGAGTGGGTGAGGCGCTATGTAGTTATGTAGCGCCATCTAGACACAAGGTTGCACACGGTAACAAATTATTTGAACTCAAACCAAACATACGGTGCAGTGGTGGCAGAAGGGCACAATGGCAGCCCGAACCTTCGCCGCTATTGTCGCTTACAGGCCAGAAAAATTTTTCAAAGGAAGGGAAGACTTTGGAGGAGGAGGCAGATGGAATGCTAAAGAGAGGAGAAGGTTTCCTCCTCTCCTCTCCAACATTTTGTTCGCTTTCTCCTCCCTAGCCTTCCTTTCCCTCGAAAACTTTTCTTAACCTGTAACTGACTATAGCCGTCACCGCTGCCGCAATATTTCTGTTCACTACACGCTTCGCTTGAGGGCAAGAATTTAGGTACAATTCTATAGCTATTGACAGAAAATTTGTAATACCGGTTATATTTGCTCTAGGGGGTCCGCACAATTGCTTCGTTAAACAGGAATTCATTGTAGTAGTCTGAGAAACACATTGAACACATAGGAGACTGGCCGGGACTTAATTTTTGCTTCATTTAACTTCGTAGTAGAGGCTCCCGTTATAGGGGCGTTTGACTGTAGTCACTGTGAGGAGGAGAATGGGAGGGATGTCCTTGCATCAAGCATGCACGTGTAGCGAATACATGACAGAAGGCAACGAGCGCATGCTGAAAGTCGGGGATCTGGAAGAGACACCTTGTCGGTCGGTGCTAGAAATAGTGCTGACCTTGCCGATGCAGCTCAGACTTTGCAATGTATTAGTGACACAGCACCAATACAGCGCTGTATCAGTGCCAAGTTACGTTCAAGTCAGTGCTGTTTCGAGCGTTGATTGAGCGCTACGGTGTATATATACATGAACCATGCTTGGAGAGTATTGAATCTGTTGGCCTTTGTTTTACTTTAAATCACAATGTTAGTGCTTGAAAAGGAACTGTTCATATTCTACGGCTTATGTCTGCCTCTTTCCTAAGTACTTCGAATTTATTTAATGTTTCGTTTGGTGTTTTTTGCGCACCTTCTTGACACTGTGAGAAGATAGGGTTGGCCATCTTTGTCGGTGCCGCCATGTACGGCCAGTGCTTGCTTGTTTTATTAACGGATTGACTCTCGTTCCGATGCAAAATCAGATCGGTCGATGAACTCTTCTCGGTGACACGGATCTCCGGGCTTGCTCGTACCCCCGTGCGCTCACATTAATTACGCCGCCCCTTTTTCTTCCTCTTTTCAGATGGCGGTACAGATAGACATGAACCGGCAAAGTGACATTATGGCAACTTTCGAAGAAATGCTGTGATTTTCCGTTTGTTTTTCTACAAGTGCTCTCACACACATGCAACTCTTCCCATCTGGGCTGCTCGGGGCTGCTCCTCTCGGCGCCACATGGCGAGCGGCGGTTTGCGGAACAGACGCAAAAGGACGACACTCTGCGGTGGTTTGCGTCGCCGTCACGTGTCTCCCGCTCTTTGTGCGAGTGCGCGTCGGTGGGTGACCATACTTTGTTTTTCCTGGGTCTTTGTTGTTTTTTGTTTTTTTCTTTTGTTGGCTGGTGATTTGTGATATTGTGCTCTCGTAGGCACTCCCATTCTCTCCCCTAGTTGCCGTCTTCGCAGTTTCCCCCGTCTTTTAACACCCCCTCGAGCCGCGCGGTCTTCCGTCTGCCTTTCCCGAACCTTGGACCCACCACTACTTGAGCTCAATCCTTGGAGGCCAGGCGACAGGCGGGGGAGGGTAGACTCTTCGCCCCCGCTCATCCTGGCGGGAACATTTGTGATGGACCCGATCCGTTTCGTACCGATGCCATCCCCCCTTTTTTTTCCCCCTACTTCTTGTACATAAGGTTACTCCATTGTGTGTTTCTTTTTTTTTTTTTAGTACGTGTTTTTCTTGGCAGATAAAAAGAGCCAAGCTCGTGGGCTCTCTTTTGTGCCCCTTGTACATTTGGATGGGAGGAACAGAGTAGAATACTTGAGAAGAAGAAAAAGAGAAGAAAGGCCTTGTTCCTCAGCTTGGAGGTGCAGCAACAGAAAGGAAACTCATGCTGTTTCTTGTTTATGTGATTTCCTGGATCGGTGCAGATTTCTGTTGATTTGCAGCAAGCTTGCTTTATGGCGTCTTCTTTCTTTTTTCTTTTTATGCTTTGTTTTCCTTTTCTTTCGGATGGGGATGCCAGCGATCTCGGGGGTTTCTTAGTTGTTTTTTTTCTTTTTCAAGCTGGAAACTCTCTTTCGTAGTGTAAGATGCGGTGCAGTCATAGAAAAATGTGAGTTTTAAAAAGAAGCAGCTTCGTGAAGCACGCAGCTGCTGTCAAACACTTTTTCTTTTTTTCCTCCTCCGTGTTTCTAGGACAAGTCAAACACTGTATCGGAGTGATACTTCAAAGTTTCTGTGTATGCAAGGTGTGTTGTGGATAGTAGCCATCAAAAAAGAGAAGGAAAAAAAAAAAAGATAAGCGGACTGATGTAGGATTTTCTTCGAGGCAACAAGGTGTGCCACATTGTTGGCCAACGTGGATAGCCTTTTTCTGGAACTTATACATAGCGTCTCATTTTCTTTTTGTTTGTGAGCCTGCACGTCTGAAGGATGTTGGTATGTGTGCATGTTTCATATTGAGTAGGAACTTTCTCAGGCAGTAAAGAGAGTTGATTTTTTTAACAGTTGTTACGGTAGAATCATCACTCAATGACAACAACAGCAACAACGGTGGACATCATCAGCCAAGGAGGATATTTTTTCTTCCCGTTTTTTTTTCTCTCTTCCCTCATGCTTTTTGTGCAGCAGGTTACGCATTTTTAAACTTTGGCGGGGATCTGCTGTCGGCGCAGTTTACTGCACTTGGAGCTGGTATCCAGAGCAGCGTGTGTTTGTGTGGGTGCGTGGATGTGTGTGCGTGTGTGTTAGCAAAAATGTGGGATCTCCACAACCCAGGCCTGGGTGTATGTGTGAGTGTGTGTATATGTGTGTGTGTGTGTTTGGTGGGCTTGCTTCCTCCCTGATCTTCACATACACCTAGCTTCAGTGACATGGGGCTTTATACATAGCTGCGTTTCCAATACTACATAATATTATAAATACACAATGCATATACATGTCCTACAGTATGTATATATTAATGTGTGTGTGTATTGTGTATTTTTCTTTGCCCCTATTTATTTTGCCGTGGTTGTAACAACTTAGATGATATATGTTTGTACCTCTGCTTTTTTTTATTCATTGTAAATATAAGGAGACAGTACCGAAGGTGACTTGAAGCGGTCCATTCAACATTGTAATCAATGATGAGGTGCAAAATGTTGAGGTAATTGTTTCCGGGACATCCCCCAACTTTTTTTTTTTTCACCTTGATGTATCATGCTGGCAGATTGTGGAAAGTTTTTAAAATACACAACAGCAACCTTGTGTCGTGTCCTGTCTTTGGCTCAAATGGAAAAAAAATGTGGCGAGTTTTCGTTGCACTTTTGGGTGGTACCGTTCACCATAAGGGTCAAGAGCCTTCCATTTGAGAGAGCTCTGGCAAACTAGTGGGTTACGCAAAACCTGGTGAAGTGCCGTGGAGGCATCTGGAAATAAAGGGCAAGCTCGGAAGTTGAACAGGCGTTGTGCAGTGTTTGATACTGTGACACTGAAAAAAAAAAAAAAGTTGCCTGTTACGATTTGGATGAACATCGTGCGAGCGTGCGGTTATGTACTGCGCGATGCACGTTAAAGAGGCCCTGCAAGGCCTTTTGTTTACTGGTATTTAATTTGCACCGAACCTGAGTGCACTGAACGTAGTAACTTAATAAAACTTCTCGAATTTCGCTTTATTTTAAACGTTATAGGCAAATTAAAATTACAAAAACAAGCAAAAAATAACCTCCTCCATAACGTCTTTACAGGTCGAGAAGGTAGCGGCAAATGCCCCTCGAAGGGATTCATTATCCCTCCGCATCCAATAGCTTCCCACCGTTTCCGTGACGTCGCGGCCAACGCGGAAGGAGGGTCTTGCCTTCCTGTAAATATTTGCTTTATCTTTCTACTTTGACACGTTTTGAAAGCCACGAGAGGGAGATAGGGGTTCTCCGCCTCCAATGGGAACAAATACGACTTTCGGGGGTTAGGTTCCCCCTTCGATGGATACAAAGGCTGCTTTCAGGGGCTCGGTCCCCTCTCCAATGAATACAAAGGTCGCTTTCTTAAAAAGTGGGAGTCGGAGAAAAGTTGGCATCACTCTCTAGCCAATATCCATCCATCGAAACGGAACAAGGGGCGTTTCCAGTGCAATATTTCGACTACGGATGGTTTTGAAACGGGCGCATCACGCTTGTGAGAGGAGCTTCTCCTACCAAAGCCGCCTGTATTTTGCTCCTACCTTCTTGACAGCGCTCACGGCTGCCGCAGTCGGTGTCAACGGCTCGAGAGGGCGCCACCAGCGCATGCTCTGGATAGGCTGTAGAAGCGGGCAGCCAGGGCGGCTCGCATTGCTTTTGCTGCGTGATTAACGACTAATTCGGCATGGCACTTCATTGGCCACAAACGACAGCAAACACGGGGTAAAGATCAGTTGGAACGGGAGCCACTGCCATACCGCCAAACCGCAAGCCAAACCTTCTCGCCGAAGGCCTTCGGAACCGGTCGGATCCTCGAGTCCGTTTACGACCGCAGCGCCGCCGCGTACATCCGGGACCTTTCTACGCTCGTCGGTCGACAAATCTTTTTTTTTTTTTTTTTTTTGTATTTTATAAATTGCCTTTGTTTCTTTTCTGATCTAATGTACTGACCAAAAACTACTTTTATAAATAATTGAAACGGTTCGCTCCACTTATATTTTGTATTTCGACTAAAAAGAAGCTTTAGCGGCTCCGATTGCTCTGACCTATCTGAACCCAGTAGTGAGCCCGGGACCAAAGACGCGTGCGCGCTTTCGGCACCGCGGGTCGCCCCCTAACCCCAAGAGATGTGGAAACCGCAAAAAAAGGTAGACGATTAAATATGACTGCAGGGCCCCGTTAAAGGGATGGTGAACCGTAATCTGAAATAAAAAAAATAAATAAATAAATAAAAAAAACAATGCTGGAGATGTAGGTGGGACGCTACAATCCCTACAACACTACTAGTAAGTCGATATCTGAAACGGACGGCCGTATTTTTGGAAAAAGAAGTCAAGGTTGAACCAGGCCGACGAGGCGCGTGACGTCAAGATACCTAGTTTCCTCCTCTCTTCACTTCGCTCCCTCAAGGCCGCGAGGCGGAGAAGACGCGAGTCCGTTCCCTCTCCTTCTCGGAAAAACATGCCGTCGATATTCCTACCAAATGCCGCTTCTTTAAAAAAAAAAAAAAAAAAAAAAAAAAAAAAAAAAAAAACCCGTAATTTGTTTGAAATATTGCTGTAACAGTGATGTTTCGATGTTTGTAGCATCCCGTTGCACGCTTTTGCCGCGTGTTTGGGGGAATCCAGATTTCGGTTTAGCATCCCTTTAAAATGGCCTCTGCCGCTGAACCAATTTGACCGTCAAAATAGCACCATCGCGGTGTTCGCAGTGATGTGATTGCTGCGCCAAACCGCGCCAAAGGGCTTACCCTGCTACATTTGGTCCAAATGTGAGGAACTTGCACCAGCGTTGCTCTAAAACTTTATTTCACTTTATTAAACGCTGAAAATATAATGGCTGAGGCCCCGCTACACAACCGGATCGTTATGGTAGGCTTGTGCGAATCTTCAGAACTTTCGATTTTAGCCGCAAATACCGTACTATCCTATTTCATTTCTTTATAAGTGTCGCGCACTGGCAGTACTCGGAATTTTCGTAATTTATTATGTTCCTAATCTGCTCTGGCGTGTAAGCTAGTTCTGTTGAGTGCGCTTCTCACCGCTCTCTTGTGTACTGCAGGGGAGCGCTAAGGGCGCGAAATAAGCATCGTAATTTGGCTTATCTTGCTTCGCCGCAATGCATCAGAGTGCTAAAGAAAAAGCATTCCCCACAGCGGGACGTTAAACAAGCAAGCGTCGGGCATATTAAATAAATAAAAACTATACTTTGTTTCAGCTTAAGTCCAGACGCAGCCTATGCTACAAGCGCGAGCTCCGGGCTTTCAGCGTCCCTGCCAAGCACGCGAGCTCTCGTGCAGTACAAGCCAGCTCGTTGCTCGCCCTCCCTCGGTGGAAAAGGGAAGCGCTCTAGTGAGGGTCCCCCGGGTTCTCCTGAACAGCGGGCACGGCGGAACTGGTCGCAATAATGGCTCGCGAACAGTCATTTCTGAATGCAAACAACACTCTTCACTGACCCGATAGAGTGTTGTAGCCGGCATGTGACTCTACCTTACTTGAGAGTTTTAATATTGCGTATGGAAGCAAACGCAAGTGCTGAGCGTTTGCGCGTCGTTGCCATGCGCCAATCCAAGACCGCAATTTCGGGCTCCGCGAACGCGCAATGTGGAGCACCCAATGCTAACGCAAACACACGGTGCTTGCGTTTGTTTGTATACGCAATACTGAAACATGCTACTGTTTCACCGGTTTCCCAGCGCGCCAACGAAAGGTACTGCAGTGAGCAGACGTGCACGCTGGTTCCTTCGAGCGGGGAAGGCTGAGATTGGCAAAACGGCGACGCGTAAAAATTAAAGAAAGGTTCTGGGTAGCCTTGTAATTAAAACAACAACAACGGAATCCGTTTTTTTTTCGTATTTCGGAGAATTTGTTCCGGAAGGATTGGCGGCGAGCTTGGAAGTTTTTCTGATTGCCAAAAGTCGCGACTTTGACATTACCATATGCTTTACCCACGATTAATGTCGTTTTACGGGACTTTCTCAGACAAACTTGAATATTTAGACTATTTTTATTTTATAACTCGGTAATTAGGAATGCTGCAATTGACACCAGTGATGATGATTTGCCAACTTTGCACTGCCATAGTAGCTCGCGCGTTTGAAATTGGATCATAAGCAACAAATTATAGTAGAGTTTTAAAAACTATGTATTAAAGTATCTTAATTGCAATATTATTAATACAAAAGTGCCGTAATGTAGGCTGCGGAAAACGCCCCAATCGCAAAAGCACGCCATTGAAGCGTAATAGTCTTTACAGAAATGTCTTATTTTGATTTCTCTTAGCACATGAAAAACTCTGACATCGTCGTCGAGATAGACACATACCTGATGTAATATAAAGTCCTACGCGTCACGCTTTTCTTAAAAAAAAAAAAAAACTGCATTTTTGTTGTCTGATTTGGATTTTGTTTTCGGGTTTTTTCAGTGAAAAGAGCGTTTCTTAATTTATACATTTTGGGAAGATATTCTAAACTAATCACCCGTAGCGATATTTTGTAAAATTTGGATTGATTTTATTCTTGTGCTGGGAATAATTTTAGAGGAATTAATCATCGAAATGTACAAAAACCCATTAAAAGGGCTGCAGGTAATTATTTCACGTGACACTTATTTGTGTAAAAAAAGAAGGCTCCAAGAACGCAAGAACACACAAATACCAACGCCAATTTTTGCAACAAATCCAATATTATGTTGCCATAAAGGTGTAAAGAAGACCATGTTTTTAAAGGGACAATGAAGGCAATTTCGGACATCTTTTTGGCGATTGAACTGGGTTCCAAGCACGTCTCAGGCCACGTTGCCCAAATTTCAGCCGAAACCGGCGCTTGTGTGCCGCGTAAATCAAATAAGCAGTCGCGGTAATAATCGTACCGGAATCGACTGGAGCGACGCCCCGAGAGTCGTGGGAGAAGCCAGGAGAAGCGGAGCTCACGTGACCGATGCGCGGCCAAGAAGCGCGACGTCACAAGAGACGCGTGAGTGATTGGTCGAACCGAGAAACGCATTCTCGGTCACGTTTTGGTTCTCGGTTTTTAGGAATACTGTTCTAATTTCCGCTTGAGTAACCATGAAAAGCATAAATCGGACCGGAAAGGATTACTAAACCGTAAATAAAGCAGCATAAATGTTTTTTTCTTTGCTACGCTGGACGCGAAACGGCCAACGAGCAACTATGGGCACTTCGGCATGCGGGCCGCTCGTGACCGGCTGGGCGGTCTCCCTCGGGTGACGGCGGAGGCCGCCACACACGTACTCCCGTTCCGTTTGTGTTGGGTCACTGAACGGAAGCTCAAACTCGCTCGCGAGAGCGGCATTGCCGTCCATGTTGACAGATTCGACGAAACGACCGCGCCACCGCACCACGCGCTGCTATAACCCACCGCGGTAACCAGAATCTCGATCTCCTAAATACTACCGATACCGACTATTCACACTTGACGTCACCTCCGTTTTTGGGGGCCCAGAAACGAGAATGGAGATTGTTCAGTTTCGGTTTCTTTACTTCTCTCGTAGGCACAGAAATACGCGTCACAAATGGCTACAAAAAATTGGGCAGCATGCTATGTTCCCAAGAAGCATAGAAACACCATTT